TCGCAACATCAGCAAGGCCAATGACATAGACATGCCGCAGCTCTTCGTGGAACACTCTATTTTAGCCTTGAAGCGTACCATGTTGTAGGGAACACCGTGAAAGGGAGCTCATTCCATAATTTTATTCTCCGTGGAATGAAAGATCAGTACCCCTAGCACAAACCATTATCGAATTCGAATAGTTTGCAAACCGAAATGTCAATGTCAAATTTTGTATGGAAACTTGAACAGCAGCGGCACAAAGTACGTAACGCGAACTAAAAATCAGTACACATTTGACAATGACATTTCGGAATCGCAAACGATACGAATTCGATATTGGTTCGTGCTAGGGGTACAGAAAACGAACAGTTGTTTACTTTTAAATACTTCAAATGCTGGTAGCCCCGCCTAAAATGTAGTGTCATGGAGGTGTGGCTAAGAGTATCACAATCCAGTGTACAACATCATCTTTTTAATAATCGGAAGTGGTTAACGGGTTCCGTCTGCTATCGTGGTAGTTAAGCAACTTTTGCAATAACCGCTCATAAGATGGGTAACCAAAATTAATTATCTTAAGTTCCTCCGTACTTTGGAAGGCACGTTGATCCCTTTATCTACAGTAGTTATTAGCACCCACAAATCTAAACTCGGACCGTGTGGTGGGTCATAAATTCATCATGCATGCATAGCATGATCTCCCATCCATAGGAAAGTCTTGTGCCCCAGCCCAGCAGTGGGGGCCAAGAGGTTGGGATATTCATGAGCTGATGATCTTCATACAAGAGGGGTGGAAATCGTAAGGGGCCCAGGTTGCCCAGGGCCTGTACACTTCTTAATCCATCCCTGGACAAGAGCCCTTGCTTACTACTTATTCGAAAATTAATGTAAAAGTATTCTGTGGCAGCCTGTATAAAGTTTGTTTATTTATATCGCACGTCACAAACAAAAGGGTATTTATTATCTTCAAAAACAGTGTTTTGAGATATCGCGTTTTGAAGTTTTAAAAAATCATAGAAGCGGAACTACTTGTTCAAATGTTTAATATGATACCTTGATTTAAACGTACATTATCCTTCTTTGTGTTAAGTTGGTGTATCAATAGTAGTTTTTATTATAAAAGTACTTTTATGTGATTGGATAACGAGAATGCCCTATAAGCAGTTCAAATGGCTCAGATGACTCATGTTAAAATCAAAACTGATCATTTTAAAATAATTTCGCTGAAAATAACATATTAAATAAAATTGAACAGGTCAGAGGGTATTATTTTAAATAAAACTTCAAACTTGTATTAATCCGAACGGGCAATAGGGTTATTATCTTAACCTAATACTGTGTACAATATTCACAATCATAAATTTTGCCTAGAAATTGACGACATGTGTTGCTATAATTCAAAAACTATTTCGAATTAAAATACAATTATCTTACCAGTTTAAAGAGAAAAAAAATGTACTTTTCGCAACGCAAATAAAAAAATAAATGGTTTTGGCGACTTAATACCCTATTGTTTGTGACGTGCGATATGTTCATGATATTATTATCATCCCACACAACAAACTAAACCCCATCCCATCTGATGGTAAACGTGATCCAGTTGTGATAATACATGATGTAGAAAACGGTAGTAAAAAATTATTTGACTTTATTTTTTATTTTATTCTTATTATTCTTATGCCTTTTAATGATTGCGAAAGTTTTCAATTTTACAATTCTAAAGAAAATTTTACTAGAAATAAATCCACGCGGACCAGGCAGCAAAAAGGACTCGAACCTTTCGCTATCAGGGCGAATGCACTGACCATTATGCTACCGCGGCCCTGATGGCCGTGTCAAATATTCTCTAGCCTTTCTTAAGCTGTAAGGCAGCGCCATTTCTTCGCATTGTAGGTAACCCACAATGTCAAATGAATACCGTTACAAGTATTAAACATTTGAAAGAAGAAATAGCAATTATAGTTATATTTGTAATTGTTTAAGCATGTAACTGCTAGATGTTTAAATCTAAAAAATCTAGAAAACATCTAGCAGTTACATGCTTAAACAATATATAACTATGATTGCAATTTCTTAGTATATTAACGATTAATATAGATAGCAGTTTTTTTTTCTGTGTTTTTAATACTGCCAAAGGCTAACTCAAATTCAATTAGGGCGAATAATCCGCGTCCCTGCCTCTCCAGATAAAAAAGTATTCGTAAGTTATTACATCATAAATCAGTTTGCACCTACTTTTAGACTGTTATCTTATTTGCACAATAAATACAACATAGTAACAGATAATATGTTATTGTACGTATGAGCAGTACGAGTTCATACAGTATCGACCGACCTTATCAAAATATCATTGAGAGGGCAGCCAAGCAAGGGTGCTCAGTGAAGCATGTCATAAACACCCTTTTGAAAATATTCGTAAATTTTTAAACAGTATCCCCCATACACTCGCGGTATATGCACATACAGTGCTACTAACAAAATGTAGTGGAATAAAAGAAAAAAGCTTTCTCAATATACCTAAAATTCGAAGAAAATATTGCCGTTGCAAAAATCACAGGAGTTCACGTTCAATTTAGTAGTTCTTGTCCAAATATATTTTTTACTGAAAACCTTATTAAGTATTATGCTATGGTGATGTTGGTTTAATAACTTATTGGTTACTGATCATATTGATGTAACCCCACACCCAAATTCCTGATTGCGTTGCCAGGATACGAAGCGGCACGCTCTGTATTATCAATTGACGAATGAACTTTTCCGTGAAAAATTCAACTCCGAAATCATGGGTTTTGCTCACACTTCAGACAAATAGGTGAGATAATACAATTTTGTTTTATTTTGCGAAGAGTACTTGAACTTAGATGATAATTTTGTTTACCTAGACACGTGTTTGAAGGTTACCTAAGTCTAGTGTTACAACATAGGGTGCTAGGTAAATGACCTCAGCTTAAACTAGATTGCATGTTATTAGGTAATAGTTACTACACAAACACAATTACGTTGTTTTGTTTTCAAGAAATTTAAAGATTATCTGCTTAGCACGTGTTTAAAGGAAGTATAGGTGTTGATTCTGGCAGGGTTCTCTAAACCTAAACTTAAATTTGACAACAGTGTATCCTTGTCAATCTCTATACAGAATGTAAAGGAGAGACTGATGTTAAATTTAGTTTTAAGTTTACAGAATCGTGCCAGAATTGATCCCATAGTCAACATAAAATTGAGAATTTTTCAAAGGGTGTTGCCATTTTCAGTACCTAAGTACTTGCTTTGATTTATTATAAGTACTTTATTGTAGTAGTATTGATTTATTAAATACTTTTTTCAGATGGATAAAGATAAACATTAAAAAAAACGAATATGATGTTGTATTTATACTTAAATCTCGAGTAGGAATAGTTAATTCAACATTTAAGTTGAATTAACTATGAAATTAGAAATTACCATCGATCTTGGTGAAATTTGGATCACTATGGTATTTGGTCTAATTAAAAAAAAAAGCAATAACTGTATTAATTATTGACATAATTATCGCTTACAACTTCTAGATCAGTGTAATTCTAATAGTGAATGAACCCGTGGACCATCAATAGCTGCTTACTTGCACTTAACAGAAAATATTTCGTAAACATTAGTAGATCATAATTATGCTGGCAAAAATGTTTTATTACATTATATTACTCATTCTGAACAACAGCTTCATCGACGTCTACTGTTAGACATATTATTATAGGACTTCCACACTACACACACAACGATCCTGCGCTTTGCGTTTGAGCTCTTTAGTTCAGTCAATGGGTTCAGTACCCATATCCATGGCGATCCGTTGAGATGTGTCGGTTATTGTATCGGTATAAAAAATCCATGGAATAACTAATCCATGGATTTTCGGCTGTTTCAATCACACAGAGAAAGTCCGAGCATAGCGCCATCTATCGCTCACCTGGCAAACACACACTTTTAGAGGAGTGTCATGGTACTGAAGAATTTCGGCTTGACCAACAGCTTAGGACAAATTAATGATAAAAGTGAATTGTGTCTAGGTATAGGACAGTATAGGAATGGATTATACCACCGTGCCATATTCTCTGAATATTGCTCTTCCCATCACACAAGGCGTAGGTGAAATAAATTAAGTGAAAATTGAAATGAATTGTTATTATTATATTATTGAAATAAAGTTATATCTTATAGTACTAGGTAGGTAGGGACCTCATTGAAATCCATCTAGTTAGAACTGAGATTTCTTAAAAAGGACTTATGGTGTTGGGGGTGAGAATTTTGGTATTTAAAATCTTAACAGACTGATATTGGTGGATTTAACAAAATCTATGAATATTCCTCATTACTTTTAAAGACCTGAAGATAAACAATGTTTCTGAATTATTTCTGAGTAAATGAATAAATAAATATTACTTACATAAAATACCTACCTGAAATGGTACCCCTCTTTTACACGAATCACGAAATAAAGTGCATTGATCTATAGGTAACATTGTTTTCTGTCCGACTAATTTTTTGTTAGAAAGAGACAGGGCATTTGGCTTACCAAACTACTTATAACCTGCTGTACTGTATGTAGGTGGTAATTAGATGCCTAGCCCGATAGCCAGTGTTTCCTCGCGCCCTACCGTTCCCTTGTTCACCGACTGAATCGACCGCATTCGTTGGCCTCCCACGCTCCAGTCTTAAATCTTTTCTATTTTTTTTGACGTTCTCGTTTGTGGCAGTTTTATTTACCTGTAACATTCCGTGTTTAACTTCGGACAGCTTATTATAGTAATGTAAAATGTCTTTTGAAGCCAAGAAAGCTCACCATTTGTATTTTGAAGTGAAACACAAAAGGAAAATTAGAAAGAAAGTCACATTTCAGGTGGAATATTTTATTAATAAATAAATTATTTATTTAGATTTTCAACTAAACATTATTTAATTACCCTAATTAATAAAATTATTCGGAAACTTATCCTAAAAAGTGCTTCCATTATCTAGATCTTATTGAATCTTGTATTTTTTTTTGATAGTTGCCCTCGAGAGAAGGTCTGACTACACCGAGGAGTGCTCGTACTCCTATCACCCGGAAGACTCCGACCACCTTTCCACATCAACGCTTGAAGAAGGAGGTAAGCAAATATAAAATAAATAGCGCCTGATACATTTCGACGTGCAACGCTTTGATTAATTGTTGTATCGTGTACTGGAGTATAAGAAAAAGATATAATATGCGAGACACGATCATAGAATAGTAATTTATAAGTAAATTATTATTTTCTGTTTTTATATTTATTGCTCAGGTGTAGTAAAGTAACTTAATTACTTTAAAAACTATCTTATATGTAAACCTTAAAACTTTCGTAAGGCTGACATGACGGACGTTACAATTCAACTTAATGCTTCAATTTAACACAAGTTGGTAAATAAACACGTATTCATTTATTGTAGAAGTCCCTGGACAGCCCCCCGGAAATGGACTCGCCTGTGGGTAGCGTCAGCAGCGACCTGCGCCGCCAGAACGAGGAGCTGCGAGCCCGTCTCGCCGGCGAGTCTGCCGATCACAAGCGGCGACTCGACGCCTACCGCCGCGCTCAGCAGGGGCAGGCGGCTTTAGTCTCGAGACTGCAAGCTAAGGTAATTTGGAACAAGTTTAAAAATATAACATTGTTTCTGTTCTTACTAAGCAGGTACTTATCAAGATTTGATTTCTTGATAAGGAAAAGATTTTTGAGCAAGAATAATATAATGCTTTTCCAAAAGTGTCTGTCATCACTTTCCTTTATAAAAGTAAGTAAGTAAGTAAGTATTAGAAGAGAGTAAGAGACCAATACTGAAATTGCTTTAAACCACTTTCATGATGATCTGACTCTTTTTTATGATCTGTGTTTCCCTTATATTTATGTAAAAGTTCCTAATAAAAAGATAAAAATAATTGGCTTACTAAGAGTTTAAAGAAATGTTCTATTCGAACAAGACAATTATATTTAAATTATTTACGCTACAATAACGATAAAATATAACACACCCAATTTAAAAAAAAATATGCAATTATTTTTCGTAAATGTATCTATAATGCGCAAAGAAATTATTTTATTCGTTAATCTCACGAGCCAAAAATAAGTGTAAAGCGTCGTGTGACAGTATTAATAATAATTGACTCACAAGGCAACTCAACAAATACAAAAAATAAATAAAAATGTAAAGATTTTTGTTGATCCTCAGTTTATAGCCGATTTCTTTATTTTTTTTTTAAAGCTATAAATCACAATAGTGAAATAAATGTTTCAAATCCATAATTATGAACCTTATACATAGTATGAACATATTATTAACCCTTGCCTTTGTTTGGGAAAATTTTGAAGTATGCTTTTGACAACGACACTGACACATAAAACCAAATCAAAACAAACAAACTGCAGATCTCGAAATTCTGATTTGTGCATTTAGTTTTATATAAAAAAAAACTATTGCCTATTTAAAAAGGCATAAACATTGCATTTCTCACAGTAGACAATATAATGTTTCAATCTTCATCAAATTGTGAAGGTGTTGCAATACAAGCAACGATGTTCGGAGTTGGAGACCCAAATGCTGGAGACTACTCCTCGCAGCGACCCGTCCACCTACCGGCCGGGGAAGAGCGCCATCGCGCTCCCGCCGCCGAGCACTCTGCCCACCTCCGGGAGCTGCGCCGACTCCCGGAGGGACGAACGCATCAACGACTTGGAGACGGCACTGCGCCGCCTCGATGAGGAAAAGCGCAAGTGAGTGTCCTAAAGGACTATATTTTTAGAAAGGCCTATATTAGGTAAAACTGTACTTCCATGGCCCAAAAGGTGATACTTGTTTTTTTCTGTAGAAAAGGTCTTTTTAACAGATTTTTTTTTCTGGCGCTTCGCCGGCCGCTACCGCGGCACGCTCGCTTTGCTCGCTCGGCTCGCGCGTTATGGTCACAACACTAACCTAACCTAACCTAGTGTGAAGTATCACCACTTGATAAGAAAAGTAAAATTTTTCAATATTTTTTTCTAAAAAACTACCAGTGCATAAGTGTGACATATTTTAATAATGTGGTTAACAGAAACCTTTTTAACAACAAAAATGCGAAATTACTACCAACAAAACTGAAATTTTTACTTTTGGGCCCTGGAAGTACAGTATATCCCTATATTAACAATGTAACTAGGCAAAGGCTCTTCTAAAGTGTTCTGTTATTCTATCAGCCTCAAACAATCACTGTTTCGATACTGCGAATGAATGAATGAATACTCTTTATTGCACTATTACAAAAAAAAACACTAAACATAAAACAGGAACGCAAACACAAAAAGCGGCCTTATTGCTTATTGCTAAGGTAGCAATCTCTACCAGGCAACCTTTGGCTAAATGAAACGATACCATAAGAATAGTAGAAACAGGGGGCTGTGCATTGTAAAAATAAATAAATAAACGTAAATATAGAAAATATATGCAAGTTATAAAAAACGATACAAAGTAATAAACTTAAAAAAAGATCAGTCAGAGTCCAGCTTGAGGAAATAATCCTTAATTTTACTAGCAAAGGATATGGTATGGTAATCCCGCAAGGAATATGCACCATGAAACTATAACCTTCATTATGAAGGTGAATATGAAGACAAAAGATTCTGCCTGTGGCACCATTTTTCTCACTTTTGAAGCTCTAATGAGGTCTTTTTAGATACCTACCTGCTGTTAATCTAAGCTTTGCAAATGTAAGATATACTTTAAATGAAAGAAGTTATTGAGATAGATATCATTTTCATATACCAATAATATTACAAAACTTGAGCTCTGACGCAATCACTTTTAAGAATTGTAAACAAAGAACTTATATTGTTATTCATACCTTGTAATCTATATAAAATTGCACTGCCAAGTACCTACTAGTTACATTTCATGGAAATGTTTTTTATAAATGCTCAAATATACAGATATCAATGAAGATTTTGATATAATAAAAACATATGAACATTTAATTATAATAATTACATAGTAAAGCTAATGTGAGTAAAAAATGTTACAAAGCACCTAATAATGAACTTAAAATTTTGAATAGGTGTGAGAAATTGGTGTCTCAGAACAACTTACTCCGTGATCAACTGGAGGAGTCCCATCAGTTGAATGAAGCTCTCACGGGTGACCTGCAGAAGCTGACTAACGATTGGGAAGCTCTCCGAGATGAGATGTCCATCAAGGAAGATGAGTGGAAGGATGAGGAACAGGTAATATATATATTTTTTTAATTAATAATTTGAATGGGAAAACTTACAACTATTCAAACAAGATTTGGTCAACAATTTTAGCAACTAAAAGCCATTGACAAGTTTTCACAGAAATTTTTAGATTGTAAATTAAAATTTAACAAAGTTGAGATAAATTTAGATAAAGAAAACAAATTAAATTCAAGTATTTGCGAAATATTCAACAGCTATCAACCGCCTGATAGCCACAGGTTTCAAATGAAATATGTCAATCGAAGAATATTCATTGACAAAGTCTTTTAACAAAGCATCATTTCTATTGAAAAATGAATACTGTCGATAGTTAGTGTTACACTTCAAAATACTTAACGGACTTTAACTTTTTCTTCAACTTGACATGGGTGAAACCGCAGGGGACCTCTAGTTTTGATATAACTGTGATAGTTAGACATATAATATTGCATAGATATTAATGTCCTCTATAAAACTTTAGTACATCACTTTGCTCTATTGTTAATGACTTTCGCAGTATACGCGACATAAGGTTATTTTTTGGTATTTTTTATACACCTTGGGTCCCATTATCAAAGTTGTCATACGGAACCATAACTTTTTTGAAAATACTCTATAGCTTATGTTTATCACGGATAATAAAGGATTCTAAATGTGAAAGAATTTTTCGAATAGGTCAAGTAGTTTTAGAGCCTATATTCAATACAAATAAACAAACAGTCAAATCTTTCCTCTTCAAAATATTAGTATAGATAGTATAGAAATAACTTAATAATAAATTCTCATAAAAAGTTATAAACTTAGACAAATATCATGCATCTTGAGTTTTTGAAATATAAAACATATAGCTACAGTAGAACCCGTTTAATACGATCACGCTTAATACGATTTCTCGCATAATATGCCATTATGAGTCAGACAACTACAACCCTACTACAACTTGAGACATGTTTTCATACATTTCTTAACGCTTAATACGATTCGACATCCCGTTTAATACGCCTAAATCGCCAACACGATTGACGTGACGTCTGACGAGCGACACACGCTAAGCGGCCCACAGGGTTTTCTTGGATATCCTTCCATTGACAACAATGTGGCACCGTATAAAATTCAATGAAAATGTGAATATCACACAAGAAGAGGCCCTAAGTGATAATGATCATGAAGAAAATCCGATTTTGTCACACGCCCAGGCATTATCAGCAGTTAGTGATTTAAGACTCTATGTAACTTCTTTGAACCAAAACGAAGATGCACTGTAAAAGTTAAATTATGTTGAAGCTCTTGTAATTGCTAATGCCTCAAAATCTTTTACAAACTAATATAAGTGATTAATTTAAATAACGTAATAAAAAATAATAATACACTTAATTTTTTATAACATACATAATTCTTAAATATTGTACATTTAGTACCTCAATACCTGCATTCGAAATTTCCCTATCCCGCATAATATGCTTTCCCGCTTAAGACGCGTTTTTGGTTGAGTCCCTGTGAAATCGTCTTAAACGGGTTTTACTGTATAATGTTATTAAACTTTAAGAAAATTAATATGCATTTGAGTATGATTTTAACATTAAACAAATACTTTACCAAGTTAAAATTGTGAGAATTTGATCAGTGGGTGCTCTTAACCTGCCAATTCGGCAGTCAACTGAACCAAACCAATCACCTAATATCTATTATAAAACTCAAAGATGACTGACTGACTGACATAGTGATCCATCAACGCACAGCCCAAACCACTGGACGGATCGGGCTGAAATTTGGCATGCAGCTAGATGTTATGATGTAGGCATCCGCTAAGAAAGGATTTTGATCAGTTCCACCCGAAGCGAAGCGAGGGCGGGCCACTAGTTACTACATAAAGACTAATTAAATGTATGTTTTGTTATATCTAGGCTTTCAATGACTACTACTCAAGCGAGCACAACCGCCTACTCAATCTGTGGCGTGACGTGGTGGCAGTGAAGAGATACTTCAATGAACTGCAGGCCAGCACTGAGCGAGACCTGTTCCGAGTGAAGAGCGATCTGGACTCGTCTGTGCGGGAGCTCGTGGGCACTCTTACTGGATACTCGATCAACACACACGCCTCACAGGGGATAAAGGTAATTATAAAGTCAAGTCTTTTAATAGGGGGCTTTACCAGTTTGGTTGAATTAAATGGGTGTTGGTATATGAGTATACATATACCTCAGTATATACAGGGTGGAAATTTTGAATGCCACCCCCAGGGGAAGTACTCTAAATACTGGAGTTAGATAATTTTACTCAAAAGAAACATTCCTTTATTTTTAAAAAGAAACACAACTCCATTCACAGTTTTTCGAAAATTTGCTTGCCACACCCGGGAATTGAACTGGCAAAAATTCGAAAAAATGACAAATATATGGCATCGATTGATAGATTATTTATTATGGTAAATTTTGATGCAGCAAACAAGACTTAAGGCAATGCGTTCTAATTCGCTATTCCATTTTCAAAAATATGTAACATACCTCCTTGCATACCTCATTTAAATTACTGGTACCAAAGAGGTTGTACGGCGCCCCCCCCTGACTGAACTCCTAAGTCTGCATTTTAGACATGTGCAAAAAATTCATTATTCGTTATTTGAATGAATAAATAACGTCGAAGATAATAAAAATACTAACTCGTGTAATCTGGTGGGATAAAACTGATTTTAGTCTTGTTCCATTCAGTTAAGTTAAGATTACACGCTTTTCCTTCCATTTAATGTACTAAGTTTGTTAGTAAGATATGATCCCTATGATTGACCCTATAATTCGATGCCATAAAAAAACAGGGTGTAATTTTTTCGAATTTTCGTTAGTTCGATTCCCGGGTGTGGCAAGCAAATTTTCGAAAAACTGTGAATGCAGTTGTGTTTCTTTTTAAAAATAAAGGAATGTTTCCTGTGAGTAAAATTATCTATCTCCAGCATTTAGAGTACTTCCCCTGGGGGTGGCATTCAAAATTTCCATCCTGTATATACTGATTCCTCAGTATATATGTAAAGACCTTGAGTTGTTTTATTATTGTTGAATCTGTTCATATTTTTACTAATAGTGGGCTAAGATTAAGAGGGTCTTGACGTAATAGTGGGCTGTAAATGACTTGTCTAGAAATATATTCCAAATGTCTATGAAATGAAATCTCTAGGATTCTTGCTGGTCTCAATCATGAATTTGTGAATTCCTCGCTAGCCGGACAACCATCCAGCCCTAATGCAGTGTCTCTCCGGATCCACCACCAGCGTGGGTCTGGAGACTTTACGCGTCGAACTGCGGGATATGACGTCACAGCGCGACACGGCGCTGACCGAGCTGCGTGAAAGAGACGCACGTATACAGCGGCTCTTGGGAGAACTACAGGGATTGGTGAGTTGTTCCTTACATCCACATTGCGTATTAGCTTTGCTGTAAACCTCTGTAATTCCCAAATGCTATAAAAATTGAGAAATGTAAACACTACTTATAAAACAAATTGAATAAACAGGGAATGGACTGAACTACACATGCATGAAATCGACAACAGTTTATTTATTTATTTAAACTTTATTGCAAAATTACAAAGCAAATGGCGGACATAATGCCATAAGGCATTCTCTACCAGTCGACCAGTAAGAGCGTGAGAAAAAAACTAATATGACGGGGGCGCAATAAAGGCAACTTTAAGATAAACCTATGTATAATGTAATGATACAAATACTCTTAACAGAATACATACATATTATACACATATATAAGTATATACAATACATCATCATCATCATCAGCCTATTAATGTCCCCACTGCTGGGGCACAGGCCTTCCCTATGGATGGGATAGGGAGATTGGGCCATGACCCACCACGCGGGCCCAGTGCGGATTGGTGGGTGCTAACGACTGCAAATGCAGCCGGGATCAACGGCTTAACGTGCCTTCCGAAGCACGGAGGAGCTCGAGATAGTAAATTTTTGGTCACCCATCCAATGACCGACCACTGCGAAAGTTGCTTAACTTCAACGATCGCAGCCGAACGCGCTAGCCACCTGCGCCATCGAGCTCCTCAACAATACTTACATAAGTATTATTATCCAGTTATATTCACTATGGACCTATATCGCTTGGTCTCTTTAATATTTCTACAATCACGCCGTGATGTGGCATCATTAAGCGCATTCTACCGACAATACCACGACGAGTGTTCTGAGGAGTTATTCTCCCTTATCCCTCCATCACCTTTTCCTCAGAGGACCACGCGCGCTGGAATACGTTGCCACCGACTTACTGTGGCCACTATTCCTACACGATCAAAGAAATTTGGTGACTCATTTCTATGTCGTACTATTCGTAAGTGGAATTCTTCTCCCGCGCACGTGTTCCCACCTTCCCATAATCTGGGGTCCTTTAAGAGAGGCGTGAAGAAGCATTTTTGTAGGCCGGCAAGGTGAAGATGGTTGGTGTGGTAGTTTATAACTGATGTACCAGCTATCTTCGCGTTTGGACTTTATCACCACTTAACATCAGGTGGACTTGAGACATTTGCCTACCTGGCTATATAAAAAAAAATGAGTGCCCAGTTTCATTGATGATTTTTGTGTTCCTTAACCAATCACCATTCTTCTATGTTTAAGAATGGATAGTAAATATTATTCTATATTTACTATCCATTCTTAATGTGTTATTAAGCTATTGTTTTAAAAGTGACGAAACCTTGTTGCTTCTATATAAAACAAAGCCCTCCATCACATCTATCTGTTCGTGATGATCTCAAAACTACTGAACGGCTATCACCGACAGTTAGATATTTTTCATGGAAGGTTAGTAATAAGTTTGCAACCTTAATCTAACCAATCCCCGAGCCCCGAAGCAGCCCTCCCCCCCACTCCAGCCTAGAAATAGTACGTTTTGCTCTCTGATGTCGCATCGCTTAGAAGAAGAGTTGCCAGATTTATCAGTACTCTTTATATTTAAATATTTAAGGGCCCTTTTACAAAATTGCGCCGCTGCCGAAATTAAATTATAAAAATATATCCATATTTCAGTAGTTCAATGATGGTACATTAGTTTTATGGAAGTTTTTGATTGTAATTATATTTAATTCAATATCAAATTACGAGGTAAACCTGCATTATTTTTTTGGAAAACTCACGGAGGTTAGATTTTTTTTTGATATTTAATGAGATGGAAAAACAAAATTCTAATACATTATGTTACAACAAAAACATATTTCTGATGTCGTAGTCTTAGATCTAAATATTGTACGTAATCTGAAGTAAATTATGTGAGTGTATGAATGTTTCAGTCTGTGGAAACTTAACTGGTTTATGAAAAAGTAATAAGTGTTACTTAATTGCAAATGAAAATAAATAAATAAATATTGTACATTAACTTACATTAGGAAGAATAAATCTACTGTTAACTTCTATTGGAAATAGTCAAAATCTTTTCTAAGGCGGTAAACGATGCGCTCATATATTACGATTTTTTGCAAGAAAGGGCGCTTAAGTCAGAAATTTGCCTTTTCTATTTTATTTTCTCCATTTTTAGAAGATTTTTCCATTTGACGTGTGCGATTTTTGCTCCCTGTGACTCTCCCCTTAGGACAGCGTCTTCCCCGGCGTCCTTTATTTTCTTTTATTTATTATTTTTTATGTTTTATGTCGGTGCTAGGAGGAGCGATGCGAGTGCGCAGAAGTGGCGTGTTCCGAAGCTAATGTTATGCGATCCGCGTTAGAAGAGGTCGCTCGAGCGCTCATACACGACTCTGACTGCGATCCTGGCACTCTGCACCATGTGTCTGACAGGTGGGTGTAAACTAAGTACAAAGTCATTGATAGGAGAAGCGATGTGAATGCGCAGAAGTGCTTAGATTAAAACAAAAAGGGTAGATACGGTACGCTCATATTTGCATCAAACAAAAACTGATCCCACGCCAGCGCGAACGGGACGGCGAGATCCGCGTCACTGCATTACCGACCAATCACGCGACTTCCGAATAAGATTCGAAACAAATAGCAATTTTGATGAGAAATTATATTTTATAGTACTTACGAATGGAAAGTGATGCCGTGGGTTTTATTTTTAGTTTTTGAGCAATTTGAGCACTTTTTAAAAACATACTTAGGCATTGTTTTATCATATAAACACAAAATATTATCAATATTTCTTTTTGGCGTTCACATGTACGTCGTTTGCATGTCAAGTTGTGACTAAAGCGATTAGGGTCGTGGACCACAATTTATGCGGATCACTTTTGTGAGGCTAGTGCCGTATCTACCCTTTTTGTTTTAATCTAAGCAGAAGTGGCGTGTTTCGAAGCTAATTTTATGCAATATTCTTTAGAAGAGGTCTAACGGTGACCCTAGGACCCTGCGCCATGTGTCTGACAGGTGGGTGAAAACTATATATTGTTTTAAACTTTCATGGTCACTAACATTATAGCTATTAACGGGATTGTTACCATGTTCCTTGTTTTTTATGAGTCTCCGATATTTCGGCACTGTTGCAAGCGCCATGATCACGGAGTAACTGAAGTAATTGCGGGTAGATGTTATTGGCAGACATATCGATCTACCCTCTAACGTCGTCTTTTAATGCAATTGATAATATGCAAAAATCAGCTATCGCGGAACATTTAATCGATTCGGGTCCTAATCACTGGATTGAGCTCCATAATCCACAAATCATCTCGACAGAACGCCACTACATACCAAGATTGGTCAGGGAAGCGATTGAAATAACCAAACACAAAAATTTTAATCCTGAGGATGGGTTTAAATTGTCAAGTGTCTGGAATCCAGTGGTTCGTGCAAAAACCGCAAAAATCAAAATAGTGTCGTTTCGCGATCTGATACTGTGAGTATTGTGTGTCGGGAACAGGTGCGAGTGAATAGTGAGAATATGACCAATGGCAATCGAGTTAGTAAACGACGACGTCAGAGGGTAGACCGATATATCTGCCAATAACATCTACCCGCAATTACTCCAGTTACTCCGTGATCATGGCGCTTGCAACAGTGCCGAAATATCGGAGACTCATAAAAACAAGGTACATGGTAACAATCCCGTTAATAGCTACAGGGTGAAAACTAGGTACTCAGGTGAAAGTCATTGGTAGGAAGAGCGATGCGAATGCGCCGAAGTGTCGTGTTCCGAAGCTAATTTATGTGATCTGCGTGATGCCGCCATTAAATTTGGTCGTTAGCCCGTATTCGGGTGCACGAAAGACATTATATTGCGATTCAACTAAGAATAGGACCGACTGGGCGCCATATTTTGATGTCATAGCTGTCAATTCAAACCAAATAGGTAGAGTGAGCAAAAAAAAGATTTTATTTAATAAAACTTCTAACTAAGGTTAAGTGAGAAAAAACATCAGATTTTTTTTATTAAAATATTTTAATAAGATTGAGAAAAAATAACAACAAATTTTTATAATATTTATTTATTAAGACTGTGTGAGAAAGAACATAAATCAGAATCTAGCTCTTCAATTCCGCTCATCTCTGCATTACCGCCGGAGTAGTTATGAATAATCATGCACTACATGCATTACTAGGTCACATACGAACATCCTTTAGGTAAACGAAAGTTTTAAGTTGAGTTTCTGAAGGCAACTTAAAGTGACATTTGGTTGACGGTTTAGGTTATCAACCATTCATAGTCAAAGCTCAATAACTGAAAAAAATATATAAATTATCAATATTTGTTATAGTTTGTTTATAAATGTGTAGTTTTTATTCTAGAATTAGCTGAGTGCTAAAAAAGGGTTCCAAGATTTGTTTGCAAACCGTACTTTTCAAGCGATATTTGACAGATGGAGGTCATTGGCTTTCCTATTCTTATTTGAATCGCATTATACTCCAATACGGGCACTTGATGTAATATTTACACTGGAGCTCGTGCTGGAAGACGGTGTCAGGTAAACAAAACTACTACGGGCGTGCTCGACTCCGTTCTTTTACAGAATCTTCTGTTCTTTTACAGAATAAATCATAATTGTATTGACGTTGTAACAACATAATGAATTGTAAATGTTGTTACATTAGACTTTTAATGTTGTGGAGTTTTTTTCGCTCGTTTTTCTCCGCAGCTAAAAAATATGTCCATAACGAGTGGTAGGGAAAAAAATTTTTGGACGATTCAAAAGAGTTGTACTTACTATACATCCAATTTGAATAAAGATATATTGATTTATGATTTCTGATTTCTACACTAAGTCGTTTACCCGAATTCCGTTGGCACTCGTATTCGGGCTATCGACCAAATGTAATCGCGCTATTAGAAGAGGACGTTGGAGCCCCCATACATGACTCTGATAGCGATTTTGCACCCTGCACCATGTGACTGACAGGTCCAGTGCCCAATTAATATGTCGCTGACATATGTCGGCTTTGTATCTAAGTTTTCTTGTGGTGGTACTATCTACTTTTTCTCAGAAGGCAAAATCAGTGATACCAAACGAGAAATTAATTCATTCTTTATGAAAGGAGAATTTTTCCTGTATAAGATTGACTCATCTTCTCAAGCTTTCGCGAAGAGCCACTTTGTAACTAGAGCCATTTTAAAACACTACCAAGCATTATGTAGCCACGATTTCATATCAAGAATAACTGACAATTTGACAATTATGTCGACTTAAAAAATACTCTTGTTTCACAACACAATTGTCGTTTAAGATACGGAGAATTGGCAATTGTAACAAAATATCTGTTACTTTTATGACATACTCGTATGTCAGCGATATATATGTTGATTTGGTGAAATAGGGCCCACGTATCCAGACGAAAGTCAGGAACTGTAGGAGATACTTAAGATAATGGAAGTTGACCTCAACACATGTTTGCAAGTTTGATGTCAACTTTCAATGGGACGGCACTGTATGAAATAAAACAGGGAGAAAATAATCAGCCCTTCAGCTGAGTTTCTTGCCGGTTCTTCTCAGTACAAGGTCTCCCGCCGTAGATTTGCGAACTGATGGCGTAGCTTTTCGACATTCACAAGTGCTTGTAACAGCCTAGACTGAATAAACGATATTGATTTTTTTTTGAATTATATTCATTGTTTCAAAGCCAATCAAAAGTGGGAGATTCAATTCTTATTTTATGTAATAATAGTAATTTATGCGACTGTCATATAAGAAGGGGTAATAGGTTATCCAATGCGATAATACCTAAATTATATGCAATTGCATACACTACTTTATCTTTACTCATAGAAACAATCTAATTTAAACAAAGTAACTCGTACTAAGGGTACAGAAAAGTATTTTGCAAAACCTTTCTAAAATAAAAATTAAATACAAATTTATTAAAGTATTCTTCGATAGAATAGAAACATTCATCAGTTAAATATTTTTTTATGCAGTTTCCTTTCATCCCGTATTTGTGATGGTAATTTATTAAATATTTTTATAGCCATGTGATAAGGTCTGGTGTTAAGCATCTTTATGCGTGAAGGAGGTATATACAGCCTGTTTTTGTTTCGAGTGCTAATATTATGTGTGTCTTGAACACGGATAAACTTATTGCGATGTTTAAAAATGAACAAGCAATTATCTAGTTTGTAAATCGATGGTAAAGTGAGTAGTTGGTATTGTGAAAAATAAGGTCTGCAACTCTGCATATTGTTAATAGGGTATTTGACAGTATTAAAAATAAAGTGCCAATTGTTAGCATCTGTATTTAGAATGAATATTGGCAGGAGTTTTTACTATTTTTACAGAAAAAATATTCATAATTTTACTAAAAACACACGATAAAGATAATAGTTTTTTTGTCTATTGTCACGTGACCCAAAACGCTTGGCATTGGTGGAGCCTAAAATGACGTCACACACAAGTAAACTTCCGGTTAAAGTGACATTTGATTGTATGGTTCGACGTTTTAATGACAGTTGTGTGACGTCACACACCAGTGAGACGCCATATTGTCCAGAGATACATTTTTCGCGGCAACTTGAAAATATTTTTTTTGATTTGGTTTTTTTACCGAAATACACAATATAATGATGAATATCCACTTTTTATGGACTCTATAAACATTAGTAAATAACGTGAGATCGTTTCCTAAACCTTGTCAAATACCCTATTTGAGCAATGATTCGCACACATTTCTTTTGGTGTATAAACAGCTGCCTTGCATTAACGCTGTTGCCCCAAAGCATGACTCCATATTTAAGCCAGGAGTATGCATATGCGTAGTATGCTGCTAGAGCAGTATCTACGTTTGTGCTACTTTTAATTTCGATATATTATATATATACTAGCTGACCCAGCGAACTTCGTACCGCCATAAAAATAGGGGCAGGTGGTAGAAGTGAAAATTTAGGGTTGTATGTATTTTTTAACAACACATTATAAAAAAAATGTCTAAATGAATTGTATTATGGCGCGAAGGCGCATTGTAGATTTCAGAACACTACGTTACAGGTGGACAACCACTATCACTTAAGGATATGAAAAATAGATAGTAGCCGATTCTCAGACCCACGGAATATGCATATAAAATTTCATAAATATTGGTCAAGCCGTTTCGGAGGAGTATGGTAACTAACATTGTGACACGAGAATTTTATATATAAGATACATATATGTATATGTAACGAAAGGTGAATTCATGAATTATCTCTGAAGTCATTTTCCAACTCGTGACTCTGTAAATAATAAAACAGAGAGAGAAAAAATAGCCCTGGCTGAGTTTCTTGCCGGTTCTTCTCAGTACAAGGTCTCCGCCGTAGATTTACGAAGCAATGGCATAGCTTCTAGACATTCATGAGTGCTTATAACAGCCTAAACCGAATAAATGATTTTGATTATGATTGATTATTCAAAATATTTAATATTTTATCATCTCATCGGTTCAAAAGTTTAAAACAGTTTATTTTGCTTAGACTTTTGATGAGTATAAATTTTAATAATGTATTGAAGCCATATTTTTCTATTTTTTAAAGCATTTAACTGCTAGATGTTTAAATCTAAAGAAAAATTATACTCGTCTGCTGCCTGGTCCGCGTGGATTTTTTTCTAGTATAATTTTTCTTTAGATTTAAACATCTAGCAGTTAAATGCTTAAAAAATAGAAAAATAAAACTATAGTGGCTATTTATTCTTTCAAATGTTTAATACTTGTAAAGGTATTCATTTGATATTGTACGTTACCTACAATGCGAAGAGATGGCGCTGCCTTGTAGCTTACGAAATACTAGAAAGAATTCAACACGGCCATCAGGGCCTCGGTAGCATAATGGTCTGTGCATTCGCCTGGATAGCGAAGGCTGCGGGTTCAAGTCCCGTCTGCTGCCTGGTCCGCGTGGAATTTTTTCTAGTATATTTTTTCTTTAGATTTAATGTATTCAAATTCGTTTTTATTTCTTGGTCACATATAGATCTCCCAAGCGTAGCGTATCGCAGACGGCCAACGCGACAGCGTTCGCAGAGAGCACCATATCAGCGGTGCAGGCGGCTCTCCACAAATACCAGATACAAATACACGAGTTGCAGGTAATTAATAATATTCTCTCAAACATGCTTGGAAATGTGAGCGTTATTTCGACAACCTTCTTCGAGAAAAAAGTGAGTCACATAGGGTGTGTTCCGAAAATACACCGGTACGCTGGCCAGCGGTAATGATGTCATGATTCGACAATACACTCAGAGTAAACTCATATCTGGCATGTTATTACACGGAAAATTGTTGTTTGTTCTGCCCAGTCACTACTTAGTTTTAATTTTCGCGAATAATCTCTTATCTATTAGACAAGTCCGTCCGTCCGTCCGTCCGTCCGTGGTGCTGTTTCAGCGGCCAAACCGGAAGAGATAGATATAGAGAATGTTTAAGTTATAAGTTAAGAATAGTCTGATAAGACTATAAACCGGATGTGAGTAACGTAGCACTTCCGGTTTTCGAGAAATCACGTGATTTCTATTTCAAACGAAACCACACAAAATCTCCGAAGTTCTCAATTAATTAAATACTTTTTTTTTTTTTTTTTTTAACAGGTTTGCTAGTTTAAATAATAATTTGAGAAAAGTTCTTTACAAGCGTTGGCCACAGGCCTAGGTATTGATTGGCCTACACTAATAAAGAAATTTGGTGACTCATTTCTATGTCGTACTATTCGTAAGTGGAATTCTTTTCCCGCGCACGTGTTCCCTCCTTCCTACAATCTGGGATCCTTTTAGAGAGGCGTGAAAAAGCATTTTTGCAAGCCGGCAAAGGTGAGGATGGTTGGTGTGGTACTTTATAACTGATGTACCAGCTATCTTCGCGTTTGGACTTTATCACCACTTAACATCGCAAACTTCGCGTTTAGCCTTTATCACTACTTAACCCTTACCCTTAACAGTACCCTTAGGACGAATTTGAGCTCACGAAAACTATCATAGTTTTCGTAATTGTAAATTATTTTTCCATGTCCATTTTGGTGAAAATTAACCAAAAATATTTGAAATTTATGAAGACGTAAATGATTCAATGATGGAATTTAAACACTGTTTATTTGTATTGAAATGAAAACAATAAAATCAGTACCCTTAGTACGAGTGCGAGCTCACGAAAACTATCATAGTTTTCGTAATTGTAAAACTCGTACTAAGGGCACGGGTGGGGTAGAGTCATTTGTATCTATAAAAAAAGGCTCGCTTGTCAATCACATTATTTCAAAACGACGACCCACTACGTATATCCATAGAGTTTGTGCGAAAAAAGAATGGGCGTGGCGAAAAACGGAACTAACATTAAGATTTTTATTTGGCAATCAAACCCAGCAATCTGTAAAACGTCAAAGTTTTGTATTGATACGGATTTGTTTGTTGTTGTGATTTCCTGCGGTTTTTTGTATTTAATCATGTCTAAAAAGGGGTAAAACCTTACAAATACGGTGGAAAAGCACTACAGCGCCCTCCAATCTAAATGCCATTCTCTTTCCGCACATACTCTACCAATATTTACGATTTTTGTTTTCAGGTGAAACTTCAGAATGCTCGGGAGCAACTTGCGACGAACAGGAAGCAGTGTGAGACAGCCGACTGTAATGTCACATCGCTGGAGTCTAAGGTGCAAGATTTGCAAGGTAAGGTTTTTTAATACTAGAATTTGCTATTTGTGATTTAGTTCTCATAAAGACTTGAGTTTAGATATCACTAGGGTAGGGTAGAGGAGCCGAATGCACCACGCAATTACCTGCGTCGCGAGAGTTTGTTAACAGCAAACTAACGTGGCGTTGATCATTGTCGTGGATATAATGCATTTTTTCTCCCCGTCATCGAAAAAAAAAAAAGTGTAGGGTAGAGGAGCTCGATGGCGCAGTGTTTACAGGCAGGTGACGTCACGCGACTCATTGCAACGTCAAACAGTCCATAGTTATGTTACTTTCAAAGCACGTTTACAAGCTGGTGACGTCATTTTAACCTCCGCCAATCCTATTTCTTTCGGTCAAGTGAAAAAAGTAGATCAAAAAACTTATTTTCTATTGCATGATATTTATTAGTAATATTATGAAACTTTTTTGTCGCAATAGTGAAATCACTCCGGTTATTCATGTTTGAGGAGCTCGATGGCTCAAGTGATTAGCGCGCGTGAACTTAAGCAACTTTCACAGTGGTCGGTCATCGGATGGGTGACCAAAGATCTTCTATCACGAGTTCCTTCGTGCTTCGAAAGACACGTTAAGCCGTTGGTCCCGTCTGCATCTGCAGTTGTTAGCACCCGCCAATCCACACTGGGCCTGCGTGGTAGGTCATGGCTCAATCTCCTTATTCCATTCATAGGGAAGGCCTGTGCCCCAGCAGTGGTGATATTAATAGGCTGATGATTATGATGATCACTAGGGAACCTTTATACTAGGGGAGCCCAAGCGGGGATATTTATAAATAATAAATAAATAAATATTTCCAACACTCACACCAATTAGCCTAGCCCCAAAGTAAGCACTATAAGACTTGTGTTATGGGATGCTAGGGTAACGGATACAATACATAAACTGTACATAAATAAGTATATTTATATAGAAATAGCTATAAACATCCATAACTGGAGTACAAATGCTTATATTCATCACACAAACATCTGCCCCCACCGGGATTTCCACTCTATAGTCGGCGACACCATGAAACCCGGCGTACAAACCACTCGGCCACGGAGGTCGTCAAATATACGAGTTAATCCAAATATCAGGACGACCTCCGTGGCCGAGTGGTTTGTACGCCGGGTTTCATGGTGTCGCCGACTCCAGAGGTCCCGGGTTCGAATCCCGGTGGGGGCAGATGTTTGTGTGATGAATATAAGCATTTGTACTCCAGTCATGAATGTTTAATATGTATATCAATGTAAATATACTTACATATGTATTCTATTATCGTTACCCTAGTATCCCATAACACAAGCTTTACAGTGCTTGCTTTGGGGCTAGGCTAATTGGTGTGTTAATATTTATTTATTTATAGATTTACATATGGGGGAGAATTAGGGGCGGGCTAGTTTTTGTCACTATAGCGTTACTATAGCGACAGTGCCACAAACTTATCTTATGTGCCGCTAGCGATGTCTTAAAAAGGTCGAAATGCTATAGAAAAATTGTAGTGAACTTTTTGCCACCGGCACAGAAAAGTTTGTGGCACTGGACTGCGTACAAAACCTACGCTCTGAGTGCAATTTTTTATGTAATAATTGTGCCAGTATAACATATTTTCAGTTACCATACGGTTAAGTAAATAAATGTAAGCGAAACATTTTCAAGTCATGATTCATGGAATCGAAGAGACACACCCAAACAAAACACGCATCTCTCGTAATAGGGTATTTGACAAGTTTTAGAAAACGATCTCACGTTATTGACTAATGTTTATGGAGTTCGTCAAAAGTGGATATTCATCATTCTGTTGTGTATTTCAGTAAAAATAACCAAATCAAAAACTCCATTTTCAAGTTGCCGCGAAAACGTTTTTCTGGACAATATGGCGTCATACTAGTGTGTGACGCCAATCCCAAGCGTTTTGGGTCACGTGACAATAGTTAAGAAAACTATTATCTTTTCGTGGGTTTTTAGTAAAAATATGAATATTTTTTTTGTGAAAATAGTAAAAGCCCCTGGCAATATTCATTCTAAACAGAGATGCTAACAATTGGCACTTTATTTTTAATACTGTCAAATACCCTATTCGTATCGCATCGTGTCCTGTGATACTACGATACTAACATTCACGACTGCGATTTATCTGATACCGATGCGCATCGATTTCATAAATATCTAAAAACGCCCATCTCTAGGGACAACCTTGCCCCTTGTGAAGAACTCCTACCATACCTAAACCCACTATGTATGGGCAACAAAAACAATATTTCACCATACGGCCACAACCTTTGTTCGTTCGTTCGTTCGCGTCCAAATCGACAGTCTTTGAATAGGAGCTACTGGAGGGTTCGCGGTTCACATAGGCCAGTGTTTCCTAACCTTTCCAATACTGCTACCCCTGTAACCTATTAGGAAAAGAGTTTTTACCACGACTTTAAAATGTTATCATCAGTCGAAGAAATTCCAATTTGGCCGCTACATCTTCGTCTCTAATAATGTCATCATCAGGATGAAATCTCGTCCCGCTTCCCACACTCGCTAGCAAGAAGGAGCGCATGCTCTATTTAGTAGTATTATTATATAGTATTTTCTTATTATTTAGATTTGACCAAATAATTAGTTTCTTTGTTACCCCCGAAGTATGGCTGATTTACCCCAGGAGGGGTAATTACCCTCAGGCTCGGAACCCAGGACATAGGCGATATCAGTGTAGTCTAGAATGAATGAATATAACATTATTATTACAGGTAAATTGGATCAGGCGAACGCTGATCTCAATCAAATGATGCAGGAGAAGGAGATGATGCAGAAGACCATAGAGACCTTGAGAATAGACAAGAACAACCTGGAAAGGAACAGACTTGAAATCAACGCTATGGTGAGAAGAAAATTATATCAAGCATTGGTTGATACGCCTTTCCGACGAGATGAGAACTTTTGATTCCATTCATTTCGTAAAATACGGATGTTTCATGCCCTTTTTTGGCAGCTAAAATGTAATGCCTGTTAAGCTAGGAAATTATATTTTAAAAGAGCTTTTAATAAGATAATTTCATTAATGCATATTTTTTTTCATTAGGCGAAACTTATATCAGGGCTGTCGTAAAAAAGTTCTTCTCCTATTCTTTAAAGACAATAATAGTTGTAGATTTCCTAAAAGCGGAAAGCAAAGGCTAATTGATAAGTTTTTGGGAGCGTTAATACGTTATTTATTGATGTAGAGTGACTCCATAAGAAGAGGATATTTATAATTCTAGTATATCAGTAAAAAAAATTACAAAAATGATTTTTCAAATATGCCGTGGGAACGTGTCTCTAGCATATATGGCGTGTTTACAGGCAGGTGACGTCACGCGACTCTCATTAATACGTCAAACAGTCCATAGTAATGTCACTTCCAAAGCATGTTTACAAGCAGGTGACGTCATTCTAACCTCCGCCAAACCTATGCCTTATATTCATGTTTAAATACACATGCCAATAAATTGGCACTCTTTTGTTTTTCATACTGTCTCTCTCTCTAAATTTAAGAGCTGTGCTCTTGTCGGTGCAGACTATGTCTCCACCTTCATCTCCCTCTATCCTCCGCCAACTCTTTGAGCCCCTTGTACGACTCGAAGTCAACCCTTTCTTTGATTTGCTTCATGTAGGCTATCCTCGGTCTTCCCCTTCCTCTCTTTTCTTCCACTTTTCCCTCAATGATGGTTTTTATGAATTCGTCGTGTCGCACTGTCATAATGAATTCATACTGTCAAATAGCCTATTTATATTTACTGGCAATGCCATACCTATTCCTATCTTCAGCGTTTATCAGTTGCTATATTCACAACTCGCCGGTTTTTTAAAGATTCCACCAGTTTTTATCAACGAAAATGGAATTTGACGACCTCCGTGGTCGAGGGGTTTGTACGCCGGGTTTCATGGTGTTCCCGACTCGAGAAGTCCCGAATCCTGGTAGAGGTAGATGTTTGTGTGATGAATACGCGCATTTGTACTCCAGTCATGGATGTTTAATATGTATTTCTATATAAATATACTTATATATGTACAGTATATGTATTCTATCCGTTACCTTAGTATCCCAAAACATGAGCCTACAGTGCTTACTTTGGGGCTAGGCTGATTGGTTCAACACTCACAGTGTTGGAAATATTTATTATTATTATTTATTTATAATTATTTATTAATTAAATGAAAATGTTGATGAAATGAAAATAGGGTATTTGACAGTATTAAAAATAAAGTGTCAATTGTTAGCATCTGAGTTTAGAATGAATATTGGCTGGGGTTTTTACTATTTTTTTCAAAAGAAATATTTATAATTTTACTAAAAACCCACGAAAAAGATAATAGTTTTCTTATCTATTGTCATGTGATCCAAAACGCTTGGAATTGGTGGAGCCTAAAATTACGTCACACGCAAGTAAACTTCCGGTTAAAGTGACATTACATTGTACCTTTTGACGTTTTAATTACAGTCGTGTGACGTCACATACTAGAAAGACGCCATATTGTCCAGAAAAACGTTTTCGCGGCAACTTGAAAATGGAGATTTTGATTTGGTTATTTTTACTGAAATACACAACAGAATGATGAATATCCACGTTTTAAAACGCTTTGGATTGGTGGAGCCTAAAATGACGTCACACGCAAGTAAACTTCCGGTTATAGTGACATTTGATTGTATGGTTTGACGTTTTAATGACAGTCGTGTGACGTCACACAGTGAGCCGCCATATTGTCCAGAGATACGTTTTCCGTGGCAACTTGAAAATAGAGTTTTTGAATTAGTTTTTTTACCGAAATACACAATATAATGATGAATATCCACTTTTTACGGACTCCATAAACATTAGTCAATAACGTGAGATCGTTTTCTAAAACTTGTCAAATATCCTATTCCCTGTCCAGGTGGAGTCTTTGACATCTGACTATGAGAAACTGCAGAAGATAAACTGTCGGCTGGAGAAGAACATAGAATCGTTAGAGAACGAGAAGCGGACACTCGGCGCTGAGGTCGACCATTTGCATCGCGAGGCGGCTAACAGGGAATCTGTACTTAGGTAATTATCTATTTATATATTAAAACCATTTATATTTGTTTTAAACTTTCATGGCCAATAACATTTTAGCTATTAACGGGATTGTTACCATGTTCCTCGTTTTTTTATGAGTCTCCGATATTTCGGCACTGTTGCAAGCGTCATGATCACGGAGTCACATCATCAGCCTACTAATGTCCCCACTGCTGGGGCACAGGCCTTCCTTAATGATGAAATAGTGAGATTGGGCCATGACCCTAGGCTGCTACCGACTGCAGATGCAACTGGGACAAACCGCTTGACGTGCCTTCCGAAACACGGAGGAGCTCGAAATAGTAAATTTTTGGTCACCCATCCAATGACCGACCATTGCGAACGTTGCTTAACATCAACGATCGCAGCCGAATGCGCTTACCACTTGCGCCATCGAGTTCCTCATCGATCACGGAGTATCTGAAATATTTGCGGGCTTAGATTAAAACAAAAAGGGTAGATACGGTACGCTCATACTTGCATCAAACAATAACTGATCCCACGCCAGCGCGAACGGGACGGCGAGATCCGCGTCACTGCATTACCGACCAATCACGCGACCAGTACTCGACGTCACTACCGAATAAGATTCGAAACAAATAGCAATTTTGATGAAAAATTATATTTTATAGTACTTACGAATGAAAAGTGATGCCGTCGGTTTTTGATTTAGTTTTTGAGCAATTTGAGCACTTTTTAAAAACACACTTAGGCATTGTTTTATCATATAAACACAAAATATTAGCAATATTTCTTTTTAGCGTTCACATGTACGTCGTTTGCATGTCAAGTTGTGACTAAAGCGATTAGGGTCGTGGACCACAATTTATGCGGATCACTTTTGTGAGGCTAGTGCCGTATCTACCCTTTTTGTTTTAATCTAAGTTTGCGGGTAGATGTTAGTGGCAGACATATCGGTCTATCTGGTCACATTGTCACTATTCACTCGCACCTGTTCCCGACCTGATACTGTGAGTATTGTGTGTCGGGAACAGCCAAATACCTCAGTTACTCCGTGATAATGGCGCTTGCAACAGTAACGAAATATCGGAGACTCGTAAAAAACAAGGTTCATGGTAACAGTCCGTTAATAACTATAAACCCATTTATGTTCTTTACGGTAAAACATTAAATGATGATGATGATACTAATATAATAGAATGATGATTGGGTAAAGTAAAAAAAATATGTGTATACTGTAGCATGTTGATATATATATATCATAATAAACGAATAATAGTTTTTATGTTTTCATTATATTTAATTTTGTAAATGTGTATAAAAATATTTTGTTTACTCAGGTACAGACGTATTTATTTCATATTAGATAATTCATCGGTGGTAGAATTTAAAACTTCACGCGGCGACATCGTTCGCCGTCGCCGCGTCTCGGCAATCATAACAGAGCTTTGTAACCGATAAGGCAGAGTTTTATAGATTTTCGTAATTTTAAATGTTAATTTTTGTTTGTGAGTTATTCTTGTTAGTCACAAAAAATTACGAAGGTGAAGTGCACCAAAGTTTGGGAGTGGCGTGTCGTGACGTCACTTCTAAGTGAAAACAGATACTGATATATTTCATATCATATTATAGAGCTGAAGAGGAGAGGTCATCTCGCCTCCGGTCGGAGCTAGTAAGCACGAGGGAAGAACTTCACAAGACCTCATTGTGCCGAGACCTGCTGGACCAACAGAAGCTGGAGGCCGACTCCATACTAGCGCAAATGGAGAAACATAGAAGTGAGTATCGATAACACACAATACAAAAGACGTAAAAATTAAATAAATGCTTTTGCTTATATTGAATTTTGATTACTATCATATCTTAAGTAGCACACCCATGATTGAGACGAATCAATTGATGTATGAATCATCAAAATCGGTCCAGGCGTTTGGTCTCTAGTGTGTCACAAAGGAACAAAAATACATATATACACTGTTAAACACTATACCCTGCCTGCGCGTCGCGCTTGTGCTCTTGCATTGCGCAGTCGGGTAAAAAAAAAAGCATCCAAATCTGTCCGTTACTTTTGGAGATACGGTACCGCAGATTGTTGAGGAGCTCGATGGCACAAGTGGTTAGCGCGTTAGGCTGCGATCGTTAAACTGAAGCAAATTTCGCAGTGGTCGGTCATTGGATGGGTGACCAAAAATTTACTATCTGGAGCTCCTCCGTGCTTCAGTCGTCAGCATCCACCAATCCGCACTGGGCCCGCGTGGTGGGTCATGGCCCAATATCCCTATTCCATCCATAGGGAAGGCCTGTGCCCCAGCAGTGGGGACATTAATAGGCTGATGATGATGATGATGAACAGCGACAAAACATGGAGTAACTAATCCAAGCTTAGTCTTCATTTATTAATAATAGGGTTGTCGGCGCCGTCTCTACGCGGAATATCGCGGAACCTATTCGATGCTGGTCTTTTCAGCATTAAATCAATTGTTTTTTTAGATTATGTGATTTTTTGTACTACATAGTACTACTTTCACGCTCGTATTGCGGAAGACGCTGATAAGACAACAGATTCATTTTTAGCATTGTTGATATTCAAAGAAAATTCTTGTAATGGAACATTTATATACAGACACTCGTTTTGTTTATTTAAAGTAAAATAAACAAAACGAGTGTCTGTATATATCTGTGTCTGGAAGAGATCGCTTGTAGCGATAAGACTGCCTTTGCCCATATTATTGTTATTAATGTATTCTTTGTACCTATGTCCTTTTGTATGTGAGCAATAAAGTGTTTATTATTATTATTACATATGTGTATAATTATGTGTGTACAATATATATACATGTATGTACATATACATTTTTTCATTTACTTACTATAAGAGAAAGAGGAAAATAAAATGTGCGCGCGCACTGTTTTTTTTCTTGCTTATATCCCCCACTCAACTCCCGTTCGTCTCGCCCTAACACACTTTTCGTAACGCACAACGCATTCGCCAGCTGACCCCCCAAGTCAAGCGTGCGTAAAGAAGTTTCACTTCGAAAAACATAATATAATTATAATCAGGAAAATTCTATTCTTTAATCAAATTATAATCAACATCCGTTCAATTATATACTCTGGAAACACCGAAATAAAGTTTGTTTTTACTTGTATTACTTCCCCTCAGGTGAATTGGAGATTGAGTTGGAGAGGACTATAATGGAGAGAGGAGACTTACAAGAGCTGGTGGAGAAACTCGAGGCGGCCGTCAGGAACTTGGAGGGGGACAAGAGGAAACTGCAGGACGATGTGAAACACGTGAGTGGATTGCGTCTATAAATATACTCGTACATTAAAAATATTATTTTATGCCATGTGTGTTATGTCAAATGAATTTCGGAGCAAGAAGAATCTGTCAGATAGAAAGAACTTGAGAGGATTTATATTACCAGTGTTTCACGGCCAGTTCCAGTAATCATACTCCAGCAACAGATTTACGGCCAGGGGGCCTACCGCCTATCGGGATTGCTTTGGCTATCGCTATAGCTTTTGATTTTGTTTTGTTATTTTTGACCACCGAAGGTTTTAAAATACTCAGCGCTCATTTTCTGTAATAATGTTATTACCAATGCAAAAAGAGCGCGAATCACATCGCTATTAGCTATAAGACCGCCCATTTTTACACTGTATACAGCAATAATGTACTAATGTTTTATTTTCATGTGGTGTAAAATAAAGTTTTATTTTTATTATAATATTTATGTCTGTTCATACACATTACAAGTGTTTACTTATTTTTGACAACGTAGCTAGAAGACGAGAAGTCTTCCCTATCGAACCAGTCATCAGAACAGCAGGGCGATCTCAACTCCTTACGTAAAGAGTTACTGGTGGCGGAACAGACGCGGATGGAGTTGGAAGCCGATAAAGCGTCCCTCTGCGAGAAGATCAAGTTCCTGGACGGGGAGAGGGAGAAGGTGGAGTTGGAGTTGAGACAGGTGGCCAGGTTAGAGGAAATCAGTTTGTTTCATAGATGGAGTTAGAAACTGATAAAATAAGAAGAGAACATCTAGTTTCTGGACTGAGAGAGAAAGAAGGTGGGGCGGGAGTCGAGACAGGTGGCCAGGTAAGAGGGAATCACTTTGTTTCATAGATGGAGTTAGAAGCTGATAAAATAAGAAGAGAACATCTAAAGAAAATATAACTAGAAAAAATTCCACGTGGACCAGGCAGCAGACGGGACTCGAACCCGCACCCTTCGCAATCCGGGCGAATGCACTGACCAATTATGCTACCGCGGCCCTCACGGACCGCGTCGAAATTCCTTCTAGCTATTCTTAAGCTGCAAGGCAGCGCCATCTCTTCGCATTATAGGTAAACCTTGCTAATAAATCAATCTAACTCTTTGTATCTCTTTTGATAGATGATATTGTGAATTGCCATGGTCCAATCGATAGCAACGCCTCTAGCGGCGAAAATTGACAGTTTTCTGTCCCATTATCGATGGAAAAGTAGCTATTAATGGATTTGAATATTTTAGAGCGAACTTTATGGTGTTGCTAGTGCGATACAAATAGTTTATACTACTAATAATAACGTTTTAATTGTAACTTTTAGAGAATGTGACCAATGATGGTGTTTAAGAAAATTTACGACAGCAGTTGGCGCCACTGTGACATGAGGTCTTTCCTATAAAGTTATTGGCGCGAATTGGCTATTTGACCTTATGAAAAATAATGTACTAATCATCTGCGTTTAAAATGAATGTTAGCAGTGATTTTACTATACTAAAATAACAAATAATAAATTATTACTTAAATAGAAATGATTTTTTTGCTCTATGGTCATGTAACGGAAAGCACCTGGGATTGGCGAAAACTAAAATGACGTCACACGCTAGTAAATTTCCGGCCAAAGTGACTTTACACTGTATCGTTTATGTTCGTGTGACGTCACACACACTACTGAAACACAATGTCCAGAATGAACGCTTTTGCGGAAATTTTAGAATCGAATTTACTTTTTTTTACTGAATTATGCAACTGCATTAAATATATCCACTTTCTATTGACTCCATAAACATTAGTAAATAACTTGAGATTGTTGCCTGAAACTTGTCAAATACCCTATTAATCGAATGAGCATTGAAATTGACCCAAAGACTATGACGACATACGTGATTCGACGGTTAAGTAGACCATTCGTCTCAGTGCTGCTACCTAGCGCCCGTCATACCAAGAAAACCCTCATTGATCGATTCAAATATTTCAAATCAGTACTATATTGACGATATTCTTGTATAGGGAACGCGGCGAGCTAAGCTCCCAGCTATCAGGCATGGTTCGCAAGAAAGACGCCCTCAATGAAGAGATGATGAGACTGCAGCAACGGCTCGAGCAAGCCAACGAGACCATAGGCCGGGTCAATAGAGCCCTCGAAGAACACGCTAAAGACGGCGAGGAAAAACAAGTAAATATACTAGTATAGCTGTGATTTATTGACATTTGTAATAGAATATAATCACTTCGAGGAGCTCGATGGCGCAGGTGGTTAGCGCGTTCGGCTGCGATCGTTGTACTTAAGCAACTTTCGCAGTGGTCGGTCAATGGATGGGTGACCAAAAATTTCTATCTCGAGTTCCTCCGTGCTTCAGAAGGCACGTTAAGCCGTTGGTCCCGGTTGCATCTGCAGTCGTTAGCACCCGCCAATCCGCACTGGGCCCGCATGGTGGGTCATGGCCCAATCTCCCTATTCCATCCATCCGATGATGAAGATGATAATTACTTCTGGAGAGCAATAACACAAGCAATTTTTTCTGGAAGTGCCCAACCACAGCATAGAAGACTTAGCAGTCCGAAAGATTTCTTAGATTCATAACAATCATAATAAGTAGTGCATTTCATTGAATTTTATTTATTTTTATTAACATCAACAAGATTAACATCAATCTATATATAAAACTCAAAGGTGACTGACATAGTGATCTATCAACGCACAGCCCAAACCACTGGACGGATCGGGCTGAAATTTGGTATGCTGGTAGATGTTATGACGTAGGCATCCGCTATATCCGCAGAAAGGATTTTGATCAATTCTATCCCGAAGCGAAGCGAGGGCGGGCCACTAGTTCATTATAAAGTATCTTACAAACTATGTGGAACCAAACCAAGTGCAATCTTAATTATAGATGTTACACAATAGCACTGCTATGCCAAAAATATCGCAAAACAAAATTACACAATGTAAAAATCTTGGATTGATGTAAAATAATTAGTAGTAAAATATAAAAAAATACATTAATCTAAAATTAAAAGCATTACATTAAATTCATATAATTATTCGGTTAAATGTCAGGAAATATTGAAAAGTTATGGAAATTAAATTGATGTTATAAAAATTAAAATTGAACTTAATCAACATTTATAGTCACCAGCAAACCTACGTCAAATCTAGTATTTTTTTACATTATTTTAGAAATATTTAGGAGAATTAGAGAAAATATCGATGTTAAAAAATTGTTTTGTGCATCATGCTTATTAGCATGCTGTGGTAATCCATCTTTGATCCTTTGATTGATGACACAGCATAGGTGAAACCACCCAATTATTGACACTTTTGAGTTTAGTTAGAGAAAACAATGAAGCAATTCCCCTTATATAGTTAATATAGTGATTTCTTCAATCCTTTCCCAACAGATCCTCATAGATAGCTTGGACAAAGATCGGCAACACCTCCAAGAACAGCTTGCCAGCGTTAGAGCTGAGAAGGACGCTCTAGAAGCCGTGCTGTTTGATACCGCCAATATGCTCGACGATTCTGACAACAAAAGGAATAAGCTAGAACAAGATCTGCAAGAGGCTAAGGTCCAGCTGGAGAACTTTAAAGGTCAATAAATAAATAAATAAATATAAATAAATAAATATTTCCAACACATAAACCAATTAGCCTAGCCCCAAAGTAAGCACTATAAGGCTTGTGTTATGGGATACTAGGGTAACGGATAGAATACATATATTGTACATATATAAGTATATTTATATATAAATACATATTAAACATCCATGACTGGAGTACAAATGCACGTATTCATCACACAAACATTTGCCCCCACCGGGATTCGAACCCGGGACCTCTCGAGTCGGCGACACCATGAAACCCGGCGTGCAAACCACTCGGCCACAGAGGTCGTCGAAATCACACTTTATTTTTCACTTGCGGTGCCCCGCGGTGTTACCCGCAGTTTTTAGGGGGATTTTCCCGCAGGCAACGTAGCCTATGTATTAACCAGGTGTTAGCTAACTCCATACCAAATTTTATTAAAATCACTCCAGCCCTTTAGACGTGAAGAAGTAACAATCATACACACTCACAAACTTTCGCCTTTGTAATATTAGTGTGATAATGTCGAAATGTATTGTCATTCGCTATTATATAACAATCAGCCACCGCCAAAGTCTTTATACATCGTTTACTCAGCTTTTTTGACATATAAGGTTTGGTTATAGGGCAAAATTGTTGGTTGATTATGAAATAAAAATATGAAATTAAAATCATGCATATTTTCTCTTTAGAATTAAGAAATCATTTTTTTATGTTATTCATTTCTATCCAGGGAAATCTTTTATCATCAATATTTAATTGTAAATTAAACGCGTATAACATCTTAGATTAAAACAAAAAGGGTAGATACGGTACGCTCATACTTGCATCAAACAAAAACTGACCCCACGCCAGCGCGAACGGGACGGCGAGATCCGCGTCACTGGACTACCGACCAATAAACGCGACCAGACGTCACTACCGAATAAGATTCAAAACAAACAACAATTTTGATGAAAAATTATATTTTATAGTACTTACGAGTGAAAAGTGATGCCGTGGGTTTTATTTTTAGTTCTTGAGCAATTTGAGCACTTTTTAAAAACACACTTAGGCATTGTTTAATCATATAAACACAAAATATTAGCAATATTTCTTTTTGGCGTTCACATGTACGTCGTTTGCATGTCAAGTTGTGACTAAAGCGATTAGGGTCGTGGACCACAATTGGTGCGGATCACTTTTGTGATCTACCCTTTTTGTTTTAATCTAAGTATAACATACATTTACCGTACAGGTCAAATCAGTCGCCTCACCAAGGACTTGGAGAACAGTGAGAAGAAATTACGCGACACTCGCAACAGCTTACAACAGCAGGCCGGCAAGAAGGAGGCAGAATATCAGCAACTCATTGCCAATCTGAACCGCACTACTACGGATAACATCACCAAGCTCAAAGAGGAGAAGGTAGGAAATTAACGCCAATGTAGAAAAAGAATAAAATTATGATTTGATTTATTTTTTAAGCATTTAACTGCTAGATGTTTAAATCTAAAGAAAAGTTTACTAGAAAAGAATCCACGCGGACCAGGCAGCGGACGGGACTTTATTTTTTTCTAGTAAACTTTTCTTTAGATTTAAACATCTAGCAGTTAAATACTTAAAAAATAAATAAAATCATAACTATAATTGCTATTTCTTCTTTCAAATGTTTAATACCTGAAAAAGTATTCATTTGACATTGTGGGTTACCTACAATGTGAAGAGATGGCGCTGCCTTGCAGCTTAAGGCTAGGAAAATTTCGACGCGGCTAATAGGGCCGTGGTAGCATAATGGTCAGTGCATTCGCCCGGATAGCGAAGGATGCGGGTTCGTGTCCCGTCCGCTGCCTGGTCCGCGTGGATTTTTTTTCTAGTAAATTTTTCTTTAGATTTAAAGAATAAAATTTATTTATTTGTCAATTTGATTTGTGTAAACTTCTCTGTTACTTTGTTTATGTTTGTTTTTTATTTAATTTAACTTTATATGATTTTTTATTAAATACACAGCTGCTCATAAGTGTTCTAATTGTTAGTGGAAACTTTGTTGATGTATGTTAATCTATATTTAATCTATCTAAATGTAATAAAATATTGTATGTTTCCCAAAAAAAAAAAGAATAGAAGGAAATCTACCATAGAATAGACTATCATCATCATCACCACCAGCCTATTAATATCCCCACTGCTGGGGCACAGGCCTTCCCTATGGATGGAATAGGGAGATTGGGCCATGACCCACCATGCGGGCCCAGTGCGGATTGGCGGGTACTAACGACTGCAGATGCAGTCGAGATCAACTGCTTAACGTGCCTTCGGAAGCACGGTGGAGCTCAAGATAGTAAATTTTCAGTCACCCATCCAATGACCGACCGCAACGAAAGTTGCTTAGCTTCAACAATCGCAGCCGATCGCACTGACCATTTGCGCCATCGAGCTCCTCGTGAATAGGCTATAGCGACAAGAAACTACTTGGCTCTCGCTTTCTGCATTGGGCCCGCGTGGTGGGTCTCGGCCCAATCGCCCTATTCATATCATAGGGAAGGCCTGTGCTCCAGCCAGCAGTGGGGACTTTAATAGGCTGATAATGATGATAAACCTCACTTCTACAGATAACATTACTTATTAAATAAAACTAGTTTTAATGGGTTAATGCATGAAACTTTATTTATTTATTGACGTTTTGGATTTAATATTGAAGGTAGCTTAACATTACTTAGCTGAAAGACGAGAAGGTAAATGGAGAAAATAATGGATAGTATAGAAAGAGAACAAAAACACCACCGTGAAAAACCACTAGTCTCTCAGTCAAGTTACTAGACGCAGCCACCGCTGCTAGTGGCTAAGTGGCGGTCACTCGAATACTTTTTTCTCTCTCTATATTTAAATGACTTTTATCTTTACAGACATGTCAGTCCCATCGTGTACTTATATAAATTAACGAATCATCTAAGCCAATTAACGTAATATGTTATTGTCGGAAGAAAGTCGCGGCAGACATATAAAGCGATACAGGATTCTAGCCTCTTCCGAGACCGGTTGGGCCAGAACGCTGTGAAACACACCAATGTCTGACATATTCAATTAACATTTGTTAACAAACTCTTGTCTCTCATTCTGGTACCGGACACAATCCATCAACAACAGCTGGAGATCTTCTACAACACAGTATACTTCACAGTTGGGAGACACAATTTTTTTCATAAGATATCCAGATGGATCCACATGGATAATGTCCAGAACGATGTCTATTTAAGGTCACTACAAAGTGTCGATTTGATGTTAAATTAATAAACCACGGTATTCGTACAGGCTGACTCTGTATGGTTTTATATCATATTCCTTTTTCTTTTGCACTCGAATACTTAGTTTGCGCTGATACTAAACAAAATGTAATAAAAAAACTTGACCGCAGCTTGTGGACGTTCTTATAATATCAAATATCTCATGCAGGAGCAACTCCGTCAATCCTTGGAGCATAAGTTGAACCAGACGGTCGCGACGCTGACGAGCGAGAAAGAAGCATGCGAGGCCAGCGCGAGGGAGAGAGAGAAGAAGCTATTGGTGACACGAGACCAACTCATATTGCAACACGACGAGGCAATGCTCAGAGCGGAGAACGATAAGCAACAGGCATTGCTTATGGGTGAGCTGTAACCCTAGCACGAACCATTATCGAATTCGAATAGTTTGCGAGTGCGAAATGTCAATGTCAAATTTTGTATGAAAACTTGAACAGCAGCGCCACAAAGTATGTAACCAGAACTAAAAATTAGTACACATTTGACAATGACGTTTCGGACTCATAAACGTTACGAATTCATACGGTACTGTTTTTGATAAAATCTTGTCATGTCTTGATCTTTGAGACTTTATTTAAATAACCTCAGGGACTTTAGTTTTCAAAGGAGAACAACTGTACTTTTGTTTCTGAATAGATGAAACCTTATTAAATATATAAAACTTATATTTCGATGAAAGGAAGATTAATAATATTATTATTGCTTTTTTATATTTTTTTATAATGTAAACTCTTTATATATTTAACAATAGGGTATTTGACAGTGTTAAAAATAAAGTGCCAATTGTTGGCATCTGTGTTTAGAATGAATATTGGCAGGGGTTTTTACTATTTTTTCAAAAAAAATATTCATATTTTTACTAAAAACTAACGAAAAAGATAGTAGTTTTCTTATCTATTATCACGTGACCCAAAACGCTTGGGATTGGCGGAGCCTAAAATGACGTCACACGCAAGTAAACTTCCGGTTAAAGTGAAATTACATTGTATTACTAATAATACTTAATAATTAATAATAGTAATACTTGAAAAAGTATTCATTTGACATTGTGGGTTGCCTACAATGCGAAGAGATGGCCCTGCCTTGCAGCTTAAGGCTAGGAAAATTTCGACGCGGCTAATAGGGCCGTGGTAGCATAATGGTCAGTGCATTCGCCCGGATAGCGAAGGATGCGGGTTCGAGTCCCGTCCGCTGCCTGGTCCGCGTGGATTTTTTTCTAGTAAACTTTTCTTTAGATTTAAACATCTAGCAGTTAAATGCTTAAAAAATAAATAAAATCATAATTAAATTGTATTGTTTGACGTTTTAATAACAGTCGTGTGACGTCACACACTAGTAAGACGCCATATTGTCCAGAGATACGTTTTCGCGGCAACTTGAAAATGGTGTTTTTGATTTGGTTATTTTTACTGAAATACACAACAGAATGATGAATATCCACTTTTTACGGACTCCATAAACATTAGTCAATAACGTGAGATCGTTTTCTAAAACTTGTCAAATATCCTATTAGTTCTAAACTACGTAGAGCATGCACTGCAACTATATTTAATACTCTAAATACCACATCACGAACAAAACCGTCGCCGAAATCTGTCCAAAAGTTACATTAAACAATCCACGGTGCTCCATAGATGATCGCGTAGTCAAAAACAATATAAGGCATTATTTAAACGTTCAAAGTCACCATTCATCATCATCATCATCATCAGCCTATTAATGTCCCCACTGCTGGGGCACAGGCCTTCCCTATGGATGGAATAGGGAGATTGGGCCATGACCCACTACGCGGGCCCAGTGCGGATTGGTGGGTGCTAACGACTGCAAATGCAGCCGGGACCAATGGCTTAACGTGCCTTCCGAAGCACGGAGGAGCTCGAGATAGTAAATTTTTGGTCACCCATCCAATGACCGACCACTGCGAAAGTTGCTTAACTTCAACGATCGCAGCCGAACGCGCTAGCCACCTGCGCCATCGAGCTCCTCAAAGTCACCATTACTATTTTAAATAAGGTCTTAAGTTAAACGCATGCGTCAAACAGTTATGACAGTTCGAAATGCACGGTCGTAACATTTTACGACTTGTTGCTATAGCCGGAAGAATATAGACTTTATTTCTATGACTATATCGCAATTCTGAACGCGCCATTATTAGCAATATAGCAGACACGGCGAACGAGGAAAAGAGACGGCTATACAACCGATCATTCATTTCAATATCACAAATATTTTGTACTAAATCAGTTTATAGTAGGTATTATAACAAAATTTTCTTCAAATGTGATAAATTAACAAACATTTAATAGCAACCTGTCAAAAAAACGACACTACGCACTATAAGTAATTTTTCGCATATATTTCTGATGCTCTACGGCATGTTGACTTTTCAACGGTCCGCGCGTCACTGAGACGGCTAAATTTTAGAGACCATAAATTATATAATTAGAGACCAAATAACAACACAAAAAAATGCCGAGATTTGAACCTTTAGCAGAAAGCCAGTCGGTCCTTATAATAAGATTCAAAATTCAACTTTGAAATGAAATTTAATAAACTCTGTATCCGTTTAGCCGGATACTTAGCCCAAGTGAAATATATCTAGTTAAAATAATCTTTAGATTAATAAATCATCCATTCCATTTAGCCCACCAAGAGCAGCAAGCATTGATAGAACGTTATGAAGAAGCGAAGCGTGCCTTAGACTGTGAACAGAACAAACTGGAGAGACTGAGAAGGGAAGCTCAAGCCCGCGCTGACCAGGATCGCGCTTTCAATAATCAGCTTAAGGATGAAGCGGCTGCTTTGAAGACACGTCTCGAGGAAGCTAAGTGAGTATTTAAAGTCTATTCATAAGATTAGGGGCCGTCCATTAATCATCATCATCATCATCATCATCATCATCAGTTTATTTATTGACGTTTCGCATCCGTTTCAAGATGCGTCGTTAGAATTATGACTTTTTTTTATTTGGTTCACAAAACTGGTTACAAAGAATATCCATGTAAATATATGCATACAAAAAAAAACATCAACTACTTTGCAACCTACTAGATGCAAGCACAACATGCATTTCTAAAACTACCTAACTACTAAGGATATATACTAAAGGATAAATATAGCACATATAGGTTAATAAACTCTATAACTAAAAAAATAAAGTGAAAGTTAAAACTAACAAAACCTTATCAGAGAATATTGAATTTAAACATTTTCTGGGTGCGGTTTTAGAACCTTTAAATATGATTATCTATTAATGATGATCTATACCGTTGAAACTTGTTTTATTTAATGATTGGTGTGCGTGAAAAGGAACAAATATATTTTATTATTATTATTATAAACAGGGCGGCGGCTGAAGATGACTGCGCTCGTTACGAGACGCGCATCAAAGAGTTACACTTGGAGAAAGAATCTGTTTGTCGCGAGTTGACAGAAACTCGCGCGCAACTCTCATTGGCCGAGGATAAGTACGATAATGCGTACGCGCAGCTGCAGGACACCATGAGGAAACTGAAGGAGTGTAAGTGGTTAATTTGTTTAGGCCATATCTTCTCTCTCTCAAATCTCAGAACAATAAGACACATGGACGTTCGTAGATACGTGGTTCACGAATCTTGAAAATACCTCATCAATGGTTGTACCATACCTCGTTATCCCCATTGCTCTATCAGAAACAATATCTAAATTCAGTTCAGATTTTAAAAATTTTATTAATTTCAATCCGGCATCTTTGTTTGTCAAAGTTGCGCGACATAGGATGCGCACCAAAAACGTAACGAGGTCATTCATCGATAGATTTTACTCCTCACATTTTTGTCATACCAGACCCCTTATATATGCAAATCGATTCTTAAGGAGTAAACTCCAACAACTAAAGAATAGAAGTAATGCAAGACGTTTGAGCGTACACTTCTTCATAGACTATACGTATTACCCAACCAAAAAGTATAATTGGCGTTTTGGCTGGCATTTGACATTAGATTGCTTTTTGATTCTGTATCGTAAAGGCAACCGAGGTATCTCTCTCTCTCTCTCTATCTCTCCCCCCCTCTCTCTCCCCCTCTCCCCCCTCTCTCACTCTCTCCCCCCCTCTTTCTCTCTCTCAGCCTGTCTCAACCCTTTGGGTGTAGGCCTCCTTGAAATTACGCCACCTGTCACGATCTTGTGCGTCTTGAAGCCAATGTTTCCCTGGTGTTCTTCTTGGAGGACGTTTTTGACTCCAAGGTCGCCACTCAAGGAGCCGCTTGGTCCACGAATCTGTCTTGCGTGCCACATGAACCGCCCATTCCCATTTCAGTCTGGTTACGCGGTCGATAACATCAGTGACCTTGCTCTGTCGTCTCAGCCACTCATTTCGTAGCAACCTCGAGCAATATGTATTTGTATCTTTTTTGAGTTTTAGGGACCGTTCAAGTATTACGTAAGCAGATTTATTACAATTATTTACCCCCTCCTCCCCCTTGACAGCAAAAGTAAGCGAAGCTCTTACCCCCCCCCCCCCCCCATGCTCACGTAAAGATTGGTAATTATATCCATTTTTCCTTTAATGTATTCTATTTTGTTTTATTGATTCATGAGCCTTCCTGAGCAGCAGTACTTAAATTTAAACTATCTCTTATCTATTAGACAAGTCCGTCCGTCCGTCCGTCTGTCTGTGGTGCTGTTTCAGCGGCCAAATCGAGATAAATAAAGTGAATGTTTAAGTTCTAAGTTAAGAATAGTCTGATAAGACTACAAACCGGATTTGAGTTACGTAGCACTTCCGGTTTTCGAGAAATCACGAATTTCAAACGAAACCACACAAAATCTCCGAAGTTCTCAATTAATTAAATACATTTTTTTTTAATTGGTGAACATTTGGTTCACTGGTTTGCTAGTCTTTACTATTACGAACAAAACAAACTTCTTTCGAATTTTTGGTATACATATTAATTCCAATTAACAGTCTTCAGTCCATGGCACCAGAATTCATGATGCTGACGTAATCACTACCTCCCCCCCCCTCCCCCCATGTCATCAAAAATAAGCAAAGCAAAGACCCCCTGCCCCCCTATAGTGCTTACGTAATACTTGAACGGCCCCTTATGTTAAAAAGGATAACTATATGAGATGAATTTAAACTCCTATGCTTTAGGTGTTGTTTTGAAGTCCATAATTCAATAACGTTGATTAAATTTAATTCCTGATTTTGTTATTTCTCTTTTTTAATGTAATCGAGTGCGGTAGCTGGTGTGGTATCTTCGCATCTGGACTTCACGTTCATAATCTAACTGACCGCTTTAATGGAATTTCGTCTACTTTGGCTCGTCATCATGCCTGTTATTTTTATTTTAATTATTAACAGTGGAAAACGAAGCGGACAGTCTCCGCAAAGAGTTGACCGACGTCCGTCGTCAGTTGACCAACTGTACCGCGGAAAGGGACAAATATAACAGCAGTTGCCGCGAGTTGAGAGAACACGTCAAGAGATCCGAACACGAGAGACGGGAAGCTGTGAGGACCAGAGATGATGCTTACCACAAGATCGCTGGTAAGAGAGGGAACACGGACATATGCTACTAATTAATATTATCAATGTAATGTATGTTTGACACTCAAACACGCAAAAACTACTGAACCGATGTAGATGAGATTTGGTATGCATATTAGTTTGTAATTTGGATAGAGACATTAGATAAAATAGAAAATATATCGCACTGGCTCACAGAACATAACCTGGAAATTAATTGCAAAAAAACTAAAGTAATAGAATTTAAATCGTACAAAACTAAACCTTTAAATCTTGGCGTAAATTTTGATGATACCCAAATAGATTCAGTAGACACTTTTAATCTCCTCGGATTGATAATAGACTCAAATATTAACTGGAAGGGCCATATAGACCACATGAAATCGAAATTGTCCAAATTTACATATGCACTATTCGAAATTAAGAGTAGCACAAGCGTAGATACTGCTCTAGCAGCATACTACGCATATGCATACTCCTGGCTTAAATATGGAGTCATGCTTTGGGGCAACAGCGTTAATGCAGGGCAGGTGTTTATACTCCAAAAGAAATGTGTGCGAATCCTTGCTCAAATTAACAATATGCAGAGTTGTAGACCTTATTTTTTAAAATACCAACTACTAACTTTACCATCGATTTACATACTGGATAATTGCTTGTTCATTTTTAAACATCGCAATAAGTTTATCCGTGTTCAAGACACACATAATATTAGCACTCGCAACAAAAACAGGCTGTATATACCTCCTTCACGCATAAAGATGCTAAACACCAGCCCCTATCATACGGCTATAAAAATATTTAATAAATTACAATCACAAATACGGGATGAACAGGAACTCCCTATATTTCACAAAAAATTAAAAAAAAAATTAACCGATGAATGCTTCTATTCTATCGAAGAATACTTTAATAAATTTAATTAATTTGTATTTTTTTTTTCAATTGTTTTATTAAATTATGTTATAATTATGGTATCACCCAAACCAAATTAAATATGTTACAATTTTATAATTTTATAATATCATAATAATAATATAAATGTTTAATTATCTATTATTTGTTATACCTGTACAAGGTGACTAAGTCATAAGATGCTATGTATTATGTTTAAGAACTTATGTAACACTTAGTTTGCAAATAAAGAGTTTGAGTTTGATACTTTTTATCACGGAAAAATGACAGGTGCCTTAGAGATTCTGAAAAACTAAAGTTAACGCGAGTGAAGTCGCGAGCGGCCGTTAGTAAATAAATAAATGCTATGTAAATAAATACAATACATACATAGCAACACTAAATTGGGTTACCATCCAAAACACAGGAAGATAACATTTCCTTCGTTCTTTTTTCCTTTTTGTGATTGTGAGTAAATACAGAATATATCTCAAACCAATGATTTTGAATTATTTTTGCGCAGTCCCTGGAGTGTTTTGATTTACCACTTTACCCTTAGGTGGCACAGCAGTCGAATTCTAAGATACTTCCAAATCTGTGTGGGTGGGTTAATAACAATTTTTTTTTTTATATATTGCCATTCTTTTTACAAAGATTGTATACACTGTATTCGTGATCACATCCAATCCATTCATCAATAAATAATACATAACCAGGACTGGAGGAGACCCGCACTTCGTTAGAATTGGAGCTGTCTCGGGTCCAGAACATGTTGAAGGAATGCGAGAGTGGAGGCGACCACGTCTCCAGAGAACTGAAGACTACTGAAGCTCAGCTGAAGAGGGAACGGGCTGCCTTGGAACAAGCTCAACACGATATCAAGGAGTTGCAGGCCAGGTAACGAGAACAGAGAGTAGTTCATGATCAGCCTGTTGATAAAAGCAATGCTAGGGCTTCGGCCTTTATTGCTTTGGAACAAGATCAGCGCGATATCAAGGAGTTGCAGGCCAGGTAACGAGAATAGGGAGTAGTTCATCATCATCCTATTGATAAACGCAATGCTGAGGCTTCGGCCTTTGTTGCTTGGGAACAAGATCAGCGCGATATCAAAGAGTTGCAGGCCAGGTAACCAGAATAGAGAGTAGATCATCATCAGCCTATTGATAAACGCAATGCTGGGGCTTCGGCCTTTGTTGCTTGGGAACAAGATCAGCGTCATATCAAGGAGTTGCAGGCCAGGTAACGAGAATAGGGAGTAGTTCTGCATCAGCCTATTGATAAACGCAATGCTGGGGCTTCGGCCTTTATTGCTTTGGAACAAGATCAGCGCGATATCAAGGAGTTGCAGGCCAGGTAACGAGAATAGAGAGTAGTTCATCATCAGCCTATTGATAAACGCAATGCTGGGGCTTCTGCCTTTGTTGCTTTTGAAGAGACCAGCACGATATCAAGAAGTTGCAGGCAAGGTTAGTAAAATAGTAATTGAAGGAATGCGAGAATGGAGGCGACCATGTCTCCAAAGAACTGAAGATTACTGAAGCTCAGCTGAAGAGGGAAGGGACTGCCTTGGACAAGCCCAATATGATATCAAGGAGTTGCAGGTTAGGTAACGAGAATAGGGAGTAGTTCATGATCAGCCTGTTGATAAAAGCAATGCTAGGGCCTTTGTTGGTTTGGAACAAGGTCAGCGCGATATCTAGGAGTTGCAGACCAGGAGGCCTACTCTATTTCAACGAAAAACGAAATTTCTATCGAAATTTCGCACGTTCCTTACTCTGTTTGCTTTTCATTTCGAAAGTTCGTTCGTTCGAAATAGTTTGACAATTAAATTCTCTAAGCCTACTCTAATTCACAAAAAATTCGAAGGACAAGTTGAATTTGACAGATAATTGTTCGAAATTTTAACCTCAAATTGACGAAATGAAAAGTGTTACCTCTTCATTTTCGTTTTGAGATTTTTGTTTTAATTAAGCCTTAAATGCAAGAGTATTTTTAATAATTGCTGCTTAGCTCGAGAATCATTTTTAGCATGTAAAATTAACAAATAAACCATTTTTTTTATTATTTATTGTAATTTCAATATTTCAAAGTATTAAACGACAAATTTAGGTTGACATACAGTAGATTGTATCGACTCTACAAATTAGTCGGCTAACACTGTCAAAGAAGGTTCTTTCAATGTCATCAAAAAATTTGCCGTAAACTGCCTATATTGTTTCCAAGTAAAAAAACGTTTTCTTAAAAGTAGAGATAAAAAGAACTCACAAACATGACTCATTCCATTCGTTCACGAAAACTGTTTATGGTTCCGAAGTTAATGTGCCTGTTCGAAAATGAAATAGAGTAGAGTCAATGGTGAAATTTCGTTTAAAATTCGTTCGTTACCGAAATTTCGTTTCGGAGAAAGAGAGTAAAGCTCCTGGTTAGTTAAATATAGCTAAGTTTTGGGTACATATTTGTCCACTGCAGTGCTCAGGTCTTCCCTATATATGCGATAAGAAGAATGGACAAAGCTAGCAACCGTATCAGCATGACATCGAAGAGTTGCAGGCCAGGTAACCACAATTCTTAAAGTTTCAGGTCCGTTATCAGTTTAAGCTGGGGCACAGACCTTCAATATGGATGGTATGAAAATTAGGACCCAGCACGACAGTACGTCTCCAAGGAGCTGATGACTACAAAAGCTCAGCTGAAGGGAGAACACGCTGCTTTGGAGTAAGCTCAACATGACGTCAAGGAGTTGCAGGCCAGAGGGCCATTCGCCTAATGGAAATGCTTTGGAAAATGCTAACGCTTTCGATTTCATTTTGTTATTTCTAGCCGCCTGAGGTATTCAAATGCCTCGCGCTCTTTTTTTTTCTTTTGTATTGTTTATAACATAAATAAAGAAAATGAGCGTGAGGTATTTGAAAACTTTTGGCGGTCAGAAATAACAAAATGAAATCGAAAGCGTTAGCGTTTTCCAAAGCATTTCCGTTAGGCGAATGGCCCCCAGGTAATGGGAATTTAAACAGCTTTTAAGGTTCATCATCTGGTTGTTAATGTTCTCATTGCTGAGACGCATGCTTTTATATGGTTAGAATTGGAAGAATATCCATTTAGTTCTCAACAACGGTAAATAAAAAATATTTTTTAGGAGCTTGATGTTGCAGTGGTTAGTGCTTTCGGTCTGCGATATTAGAAGTGAATCAGCATTTGTGAAGGATTTTATTTTTATTGTTATGTTTCCACAACTTTCATCATCATCATCAGCCTATTAATGTCCTCATTGTTGAGGAACAGGCCTTCCTTATGGATGGAATAGAGAGATTGGGCCATGTCCCACCACGCGGGCCCAGTGCGGATTGGTGGGTGCTAACGGCTGCAGATGCAGCCGGGACCAACGGCTTAATGTGCCTTCCGAAGCACGGCAAGGAGGAGCTCTAGATAGTAAATTTTTTGGTCACCCATCCAATGACCGACCACTGCGACAGTTGCTTAACTTCAACGATCGATTGTATATATTTCTGCGTTTTCTATCAGGCTGCAGAACGAGAGCGAGGAGCGGGAACGTTGCGGCAACGACGCGGCCGCGGCGCGGCGACACGGCGCCGAGCTCGAGGCGATGCTCAACGCCTGCAGGAACGAGCTCAACAACACCCGCGCCCGCGCCGCTGATCTGGAGGAGGCGTGCCGCGCTAGAGACCAGGTGATACAATATCGTTTTCAACACATTTGCTCAAAAAATACATTTACGGAAATCAGATATCAATATATCTTTATTCAAATTGGATGTATAGTACAACTCTTTTGAATCGTCAAAAATTTTTTTTCCCTACCACTCGTTATGGACATATTTTTTAGCTGCGGAGAAAAACGAGCGAAAAAAACTCCACAACATTAAGAGTCTAATGTAACAACATTTACAAATCATTATGTTGTTACAACGTCAATACAATTATGATTTATTTAATATAGAAAACCTGTTGGAATGATTGGAACAGTGTAAACCCAAGCATTTCTGTCTGTTATATAATCAGACACTTTGTAATAAGCTTTTTTTATACTATCTTTAAATTTATTTATGGTGAACTCTTGGATATTGATTGGGACTTTATTGTATAAACGAACACAAAGACCTTTAAAATCATTATTAATTTTGTGAAGCCTAATAGCCGGTAAAGTTATTTTATTTTTGTTTTTTGTATTAAGTGTGTGAACATCACCGTTTTTAAGAAACAAATTAATATTTTTTCTTACAAGTAATAAATTTTCGTATATGTATTGTGATGCGACTGTCATTATTCCAAATTCTTTAAACTTATCTCTTAACGATTCTTTAAAGGAGGTTGTAAACGTCATTCTTGGTTCAAAATGGCGAGCCAAACACGCTCCGTTATATTGCGCCTGGGGATAATTTACGGTTTTTTTTAATTTGGTTCCAACCTGCCCGCTCCATAGAGGTATAAGAATAGAGAAGGGGAGATATACACTCTACTACAAGTGCAAGTGTCCCTCTAATAGAAAGAGTAAGCATCTTACTATTTCGATGTGATTCTTGGACCAACTATTGGACAGACGACTGCGCATGCATCACAAGGAAGAGAGATAGCTAGCGGTCTCTCATCTTCTTTCTCTTTCTACTAGACGGACACTTTTAGAGCCGCCTTTCCCACTCTATTCTTTATGACCTATGGCCATGGCCCGCTCACGTGTTCCCTCCTTCTTACAACCTGGGATCCTTTTTAAAGAAGCGTTAAGAAGCAACATGCAAGCCGGCAAGGTGAGGATGGCTGGTGTGGCAGGTAGAACTGCTGTACCAGCTATCTTCACGTCTGGATCGTCCGTCTGTGACTTAACCTCAGGTGGGGTGTAGTCATTTGTCGGAACTATCCATAAAAAAAACTTGCTTGGAATCGCTTTTAATCTATAAGTTTGAAATAAAAAATCATTTATTCAGTTTAGGCTTCTACAAGCACATGTGAAACTTCAGTTCAGTCCGGTTTCAGTTTGTCTCAGTTATGTACTAAAAAAGAGAAGTTTTGAAAATTGTTGCCCTCCATCTAATTTCGCAAACAGCTCGTGTACTGTTGGTAAGGGATATTTATCTATTACCAACTGCTTGTTTATACTAACAGAAAAATCAGCGCACAACCGTACTGTGCCATTTCGTTTTAATACTGGAACTATTGGAGAAGCGTATTCACAATGTTCGACCGGTTTTAAAATACCTAAACTCACCAAACGTTCCAATTCCTTATCAACCTTTTCTCGTAGGGCAAAAGGCATCGTGCGCGCTTTACAAAATATTGGCTTAGCTTCTGGCTTAAGTTTTAATGTTACTTTATATTTATTAAATGTGCCTAATTTATCTGAAAATACGGTAGGAAATTGGGCTTGTAACCGCTCCATATAATTGTAATTATTATAATTATTGATGAAATTTGTATGTTTATACGCAAACTCTAAGTTAAAAAAAAATGGTTGCCTGTAAAGTCGGTTTTACGGGCGAAGATTTTACGTGACAACGTCTTTTTCTCGGTAGAATATTTATTGATATGAATATAATTAAATTGCACAATAGGAACAAGGAATTGAATGAAAATAAGAATTGCACAAATTTTAACTATAGAAATATATTTTGTTTACTAAAACATTGTACATGTAAACTTAAACTCATCGTAACGTTACCGAGCGTTACACTTTTTCATAAGTGACTCCCAGCCGCAACCTAATTTAAGACGTTGTCACGTCAAAATTGAAATAAAGTCCCTACCTAATAATGGCGGGCCGCCGTCGCGAATGACGTACACGGTCAGAAATCGCATTTGTTGTTTGTAAGTAACCGGCAATCGAACACAGCCTACGCACATCATTTTAGTGCCGGTGTAACTACAAAGGTTTTCACGCGTGGCTAGCAATGGCTCATTTTTAAAATGTAAATTATATGTTTTTTCAGATATTACTGTCACCGCCGACCCACTATCGATTTCAAATCTCAACTGTATTCCGCTAATAATTACAATTTCCGTCATAGGTTCACCACCAACTGATCGAATATTAAATATTGACTTACCGTCGTCGTCCTCGCTCACCTCTTCAGTCGTTAAGTAATTAATTTTTGTACACATTTTACGCAAATGCCCTTTTACATTGCACTTCTTACACGTATAATTTGCAAAACGACACTGTGACGTTTTGTGATTAGAACGACCGCACACAGAACACTTAAAACTTTTTGATCGATCCGCAGCTATGGTACTTTGCCCTCTCGCTATTTTGAATACTGAATCTCCATGTTGAACCCCTGACGCTGAAGCTACTCCGACGCGCGCGCATCGGATGCTTTCCGCTAGATCGACTGCTTTCGCTAATGTGAGCGACTCCAAATCTTGAGCAAATAACTTCTCGCGCTCTGGTCCAGCCGACATACCCATCACGAAGCGATCACGAAGTGCTTCTTCGACATCTTTGAACCCGCAGTGCGCCGTAAGCCCTCGAAGCCTGGCCGCCCATTGAGAATATGTCTCGCCTGGCTGTTGCGTTGCTGCGTAGAACTTGTAACGTTCACCGAATCCACACCGCTTGGGGGTAAAATGACTGTCGAGTAATCTAATAATCTTTTCATATGATAAGACTTCAAGATCCTCTGGTAACGCCAAGTCGGCTGCGAGTTTGAAGGTGCCATCCGCGAGTGCGCTAAGCAATATCGCTCGTCGTTTCACAACCGCCGTCACCGCTATGTCGTTTGCTAAAAACCACTGTGACAGTCGACTTTTGTAAGTTTTCCACTCCTGTGTATTATGATCGAACACTGATAAAATGTTTGACATCCCAACCAACGTGTGACATCTTGAGTTGTATCAATTTTTTCTATATAATTTATATGTGGGTAAGTTTTCGTCGCCAATGTTAGATACGTTAAAAGGAGTACGAGTGAAACGCTTGACTGCTAATAGCACACTGTTTATTGTCAAATGCCGAACCTGCGTGGACACAGCACACGCACACCTGCATCGAAGTCGATATGTAACAAGAGAAAAATAAAAAGAGACCTACCTGCACAATTTTCATATTCGTAAAAGTTTGCTTAATTAATAAAAAATTATACCGTTTTCTCGCAAATGTGTTGAAAACGGCTGTATGACAATCGTGTGGTTTTTTTTTAAATTTCGATCAAACCTGTTGTATACGCTTTTAATCTATACCTTTGTTTTCACTTCAATACTAAAAATAATAATAATAATAATAAGATTTATTGACCAAAAAAATCAGTACAGTAAGATTACGTAACAAACTTAGCACTAGTTACAGAAATTATAATTTATTAGCCTCTGCTGCTGAACTAGGCAATGCCTGTATTTCAGCGTTCAGCGCCATAAACCCCCACAGACATGAAAATACTAAACTAGACTAAATAAATATCTCATAAATGAAAAGATCAGTAGGTCATTTTAAAAGCAAGGCATCTATGAGTATAATATTTGAATTAATATGTAATGTATGAAAATGATGTGTGGGTGTATGTGTGTGAGTGTGTGTGTGAGTGTGTGTGTGTGTGTGTTTGTGTATATGTGTTTAAGTGCGGATTTATTTAGTATTTGTAGCATACGTGTATGTATCTGTTTGAATTATTCAAGTTAGTATATTTATAAAATGAAAAAAGAGATGAAACTACATGTTTTAATTTTCAACACTCTCACGTGGAGCATTTGGAAATACGCGTCATTTTCTTATTAGAAAAGGATTGCTTTTTACTTATATTAGGTAGATATACTGTTTCATCGCTAAAGGGTATTTGATAAGTTTTAGAAAACGATCTCACGTTATTGACTAATGTTTATGGAGTCCGTAAAAAGTGGATATTCATCATTCAGTTGTGTATTTCAGTAAAAATAACCAAATCAAAAACTCCCTTTTGAAGTTTCCGTGAAAACGTTTCTCTGGACAATATGGCGTCTTACTAGTGTGTGACGTCACACGGCTGTTATTAAAACGTCAAACGATACAATGTAATGTCACTTTAACCGGAAATTTACTTGCGTGTGACGTCATTTTAGGCTTGGCCAATCCTAAGCGTTTTGAGTCACGTGACAATAGATAAGAAAACTATTATCTTTATCGTTAGTTTTTAATAAAACTATGAATATTTTTATTGTAAAAATAGTAAAAACCCCTGCCAATATTCATTCTGAACACAGATCCTAACAATGAGGGCTACCGTTTTCTGTCTCACCAGATGGCGCCATTGTTGAGTGAGGTCCAAAATTGTAACTTCTAAAGTTTATTTATACGCACATGAAATCAAAGGTTACATTTAGATCGTATTTTAACACAAAAGAACCATATCCTAAACATCCAGCCATGCCACAGTGACGCCCAGTTCCGTTTTATTCGGAAAAAATGGGAACATAATCATTTTTCTAAGCTCAAATTTTTAATAACTGACATTCATTGCCACATAACTCATATTTGCCATAATTAAGCCGAATTGTTACCAATTCTTCACAACATTATTTTAATAAGAAATAAACCCGCGTAGTCAACCAACAAGCAATAACATTTGACATTTCGGAGACCTCACGCTACACTAGCGCCTCTAGCGGCGGATTCATACGCGATAGCCCTCATTGGCACTTTATTTTTAACACTGTCAAATACCCTAATGTGTTAAAAAACGTTATATGACATTCGTGCAGAATTGGTATTTACAAACTGGTGACTATGACAATCCCTCGACTTCGTCTCGGCTTAATAGTTAAGTCAAAAATTCTTTATTGAAATTGGATGCACAATACAACTCTTTTGAATTATCCATATTTTTCCCCTTTCACAGCTTTGAATAATTGTTTACAATATATTATATTGTTACGGTGTCAAAGTCATATCATCTTCATCATAATTATAGAAAAAGTCTGCCGGAACGTTTGGAACAGTTTAAACCAAGCATTTTTGTCTGAAATATTTTCAGACACCTAGGACACAGGCTTTATTAATAAGAACTTAATAGTAGTTTTAAATTTATTATCGCTTAATTTTTGGATATTGCTAGGGACTTTATTATAGAATCGTACACTTGCCTTGTAATTGGAACAGTTAATTTATTTTTATTTCCAGTATTAAGCGAGAGCTTATCACTATTAATAGGAAATAATTTAATATTGTTTCTAATAAACATTAAATTTTCATTAATGTACTGAGATGCAACACAAGGCATTATATCGATTTCTTTGAAAATTTCTCGTCTCCTTTTTTATTTATTGTCTAATATATCTAGGAAACATTATCATTATTCGCCTATGTCTATCGAAATATCCTACAAAACATCTAAATATAATATTGCTTATGTGTTTTGTTTTGATCAGGAACTAGTACTACGTCTAGAAGATTGTCGTTCCAAGGAGCGGCGACTGGAGGAGTTGAAGCACAATTTGGAAGTGTGCCTCGCCGATGCAACGCAACAGATACAAGAGCTGAAGGTATATATTTACGTTTTTATTTAGAGTTCTAAATTGAAAACTACACATTTTTTTTACGATTCAACATTTCTTAATTACAATAATTGAGCAATTAATTTATTTGTGTAGTGTTTGTAATTATTGCTATATGATAAACAAATTTTGTCAAATATTTCAATGACGCAATATAATTCAATATCGTTTATTCAGTCTAGGCTGTTACAAGCACTTGTAAATGTCGAAAAGCTACGCCATCGGTTCGCAAATCTACGGCGGGAGACCTTGTACTGAGAAGAACCGGCAAGAAACTCAGCAAGGGCTGATTTTTTCTCCCTGTTTTATTTCATACAGTGTCGTTCAATTGAAAGTTGACATCAAACTTGCAAACATGTGTTGAGGTTAACTTCCATCATATAATGTCAAATCATCTATCTTTGTCATTTTCATTGCCAATCCGCACTGGGCGTGCGTGGTGGGTCATGGCCCAATCTCCCTATTCCATCCATAGGGAAGGTCTGTGCCCCAGCAGTAGGGACATTAATAGGCTGATGATGAAGCGGGATTGTTACCAGGTCCTTTGTTTTTTGCGAGTCACTGATATTTCGGCACCGTTTAAGTACAAAACAAGGTACATGGTAGCAAGCCCGTTCATAACAAAAATTACTGTAAATAATATGACCCTTATGTTTTTGAAATTATACTTCTTTAGGCGCGTTATGAAAAAATGATGAGAGTGAAATTTTAAGATGCGCGCGCATCACTGTAACACAAAATCTTAACAGCATGAAGTTGGTCGCTTTAGCGACCAACTTCATGCTGTTACTTTTGTGTTTACCGCACATTAAGAAAATCTACCAACAATATAGAAATAGAATCTCTATTTAGTGGGTGCTAACGGCTGCATTGTGAAGGCCTATCAAAAGTATTTATTAATCTGGAACAACGGAACCAAAGCGCGATTCAGGAGGCTACAGCGCCATCTCTTGACCATTGGTGTAGTAGAACCAAAAACCACATCTTTATTTTTTGTAATAAAGTAACAGTTATAGGTATTCATATTTATAATATTTATCCACATGTTACTAGTTTGTATATTCGGAATACGTGTTTGAGTTTCATACAAGTGCAAATCACATATATTCTAATAAATTATATTCAGTAGCGATTTTAATTGAATATTTTGATTATTTATTTATTTTTTCAAATTAAAACTGAACTTTATTGACTGTGTCCTTTTCCAGACTTTTTATTAATTTATTGTAATTAATTATTTGCATGCAATTAAAAACTAATTTTAAACGATGCCAAAGAAGGATAACTTCTCACGCGCCTACATAAGTACACGCACCCATTTTTTTTTATCACTAGTTGTTATGTTAATGATTATTTATTTATAATTCAGGCTCGTCTTGGCGGTAGCGAAGGCCGCTGTCGCGCTCTAGAAGCTTCTTTAACACAATGCGAGACCGGCAAGCGTGAGGCAGAAGCAAAACTGTCGTCCATAGCCCACGCCTTAAGGCGAGTGTGTGGAGTCCAACCCGATGGCAGTGTCCACGCGGCCACAAGGAAGAGGCTATCCAGTCCTGCTAGAAGATATAGCCCGCATAGAGGTAAGATTATGTCGCGTTCTAGAAGGTTCTCTTAACTAGTCCAGCCTGATGGTATTGTCCTCACAGTCACTAGGACGAAAATAGAGTGAAATTATTTAAGTAATAAAAACTTATCTTTATGATCACACTAAATACCTTGCAATAGGGTATTTGACAGTATTAAAAATAAAGTTCCAATTTCCATCTGTGTTTAGAATGAATATTGGCAGGGATTTTTACTATTTTTACTTTTTGAAAAAAAATCACAATTTTACTAAAAAAACACGAAAAAGATGATAGTTTTCGTATCTATTGTCACGTGATCCAAAACGCTTGGGATTGGCGGAGTCTAAAATGACGTCACACGCAAGTAAACTTCCGGTTAAAGTTACATTACATTGTATCGTTTGAGGTTTTAATAACAGTCGTGTGACGTCACACACCAGTGAGACGCCATATTGTCCAGAGAAACTTTTACGCGGCAACTCGAAAATGGAGTTTTCGATTTGGTTATTTTTACTGAAATACACAACAGAATGATGAATATTCACTTTTTACGGACTCCATAAACATTAGTCAATAACGTGAGATCGTTTTCTAAAACTTGTCAAATACCCTATTGTAGAGATTTGCAAACACTCCGGATAAACTAGGGCGGTTTCAGACAATCGTATGAGCTCGTTTTTAGAAGCATATGCTTCTGACATGACGCCTATAAAATAACTAGCTGACCCGGCGAACTTCGTACCGCCATAAAAATAGGGTTTGATGGTAGAAGGGTAAAAATTTAGGGTGGACCTATGTATTTTTAAATGCCAAACAATTAAAAAAAAAATGTCCCAAAAAATAAAAAAGTAATGTTAGGGGTGGACAACCCTTAACGGGTATGAAAAATAGATAGTAATCGATTCTCAGACCTACTGAATATGCATATAAAATTTTATAAAAATCGGTTAAGCCGTTTCGGAGGAGTATGGTAACTAACATTGTGACACGCGAATTTTATATCTTCTAATATATAAAATTCTCGTGTCGCGGTGTTTGTGGTTAAACTCCTCCGAAACGGCTTTCCCGATTCTCATGAAATTTTGTGTGCATATTGGATAGGTCTGAGAATCGGACAACATCTATTTTTCATCCCCCTAAATGTTAAGGGTAATCCACCCCTAATTTTTTTTTTCAATTTTAGATTTTTCTTTTTTATTTTTTTTATGATACATCGTACAAAATTACATACAACCCTAAATTTTCACCCCTTTACCACCAACCCCTATTTTTTTATGGCGGTACGAAGGTCGCTGGGTCAGCTAGTATAAGATATATATAAGCACACTTTTTGTATGCTCACATAAGCTCGAGCCGCGAGTGACTCCACTAACGGTTCAAACGAATACTCCGAAATATGCTCATGTATGCGAGTCTAGCTTTTTAAAGCGTGTAATATAGCCCGTATGCCGGAGAAGCTCGATGGGGCAGGTGGTTAGCGCATTCGGCTGCGATCGTTGAAGTTAAGCAACTCTCGCAATGGTCGGTCATTGGATGGGTGACCAAAACTCTTCTATATCAAGTTCCTCGGTGCTTCGGAAGGCACGCTAAGACTTTGGTCCCGGCTGCATCTGCAGTCGTTAGCATCCGCCAATCCACAGTGGGCCCGCGTGGTGGGGCACGGCCCAATCTCCCTATTTCATCCATAGGGAAAGCTTGTGCCCCAGCAGTGGGGACATCAATAGGCTGATGATGAATATAGCACGTATGCCGTTACCACTATATACGCACAGAAAAAACGCCGTCTGAAACTGCTCCTATGGTCTGTGTTAACAAATACCGAATAAAGCTTTTTTTTATGTGTAACACCTTTCCACTCTCTTTCCTGCAATTTGTGGGAGTGATTTCGTGAAATGGGACGGAAGTGTGTAACAGGAAGTCGCAAGCGCGCGCTATTTAATTTGATTTTAGAACATAATGTTCAAATGACTAATTCCTTTTGTAGTAGGTTTTATTTCTTTTTTTACTAATATAGGGTGAGGTTTCAAATATTACACATCATACGCGACTACTGTAAGGCTCGCTCGTTTTTTTTAATTTATTTACTTTCAGGCAACGTAGGCCAATAGATAAATACTTTATAGTCTAACATACAGGGTGTAAAAAACCTATGACCAAGGCTAAAACTACGTATTCTGTACACCCAAACAAGTAATATTACAAAATATTATACGTGGGAAACATTTGAATTTTTAAGTCAAAAAAATACATTATTTTTCCAGTACACAATGTTTAGCGCGACTGTGGCGCTACGCCAACAATGTGCCTATGTGTATGTGTAAGTGCGTCGATGAAAAGTTTCTAAACAAGGTTTTTGTAAAAATCTTGAAAAAAAAATTGTGACTTTGACCTTCAATATCGCCATAACCATAAGTTTCCCAGGTATGGTCCAGAAGAAAAAAATGATCGTCATGATGTGGAAAATATGTGGCCTTCGACTTCGTTAAAGGTTTTTTTACACCCTGTATATACAGGTACAAAACATTATTGTTAGTAAAGAAACTTAATTAATGCAATTTGTTTCAATTTACTAGGTCGCGATCGTGACCACTCTGAAGACCGCAACGAAATCATCGACGTGGACCCCGAACTCATCAAGAAGGGCGTCAGGAATCTGATGCATGAAGTTTGTCAGATTGAGAGGGAAAAGGTTTGTGTAGCACTCGGTATTACTGTTAATATACACACAGTGCTAAAAAAATGTAGATATAGGTATGTACCTGAAATCTTTATTCAAGTTATACTAGTGGGTGTGCGCGACTTCGCCTGGGTGGAATATGCGTAATAGGCTTTAAACTAAATTGAACATCTATTCCTCCTTCTCATTCTGTGTAGAGAATGACAAGGATACACTGTTGTCAAGTTTAATATAAGGTTTCGAGAATCGTAAACCAAAAAAAAAAAATGTAAAAACCAGTATTAGTTTCCCCTTACAAACTTTTTATCCCGTTTCATCCCTTCAACTCACCCCGAGTTTGGAAAATCCATTATTAGCGCACGCCTACATCATTATAGCAAATTTTTGGCGTAATTCGTACAATGGTTTGAACTGTGCGTTGATAGATCAGTAATTCAGTAGCGGTTGCCTTTTATATATACAGACTATGTTATAACCGGTGAAAAGTGGGACAATGAGGAGATTTGGATTCAACGATCAATCAAGCTACTTTATAGATATATAAAATATGTGACAAATTGAAACCAGTAAATACTACTGAAGTTGTTTGTAAACTTAGTAATCATGCAACGAGAATAGGGTATTTGATATGTTTTAGAAAACGATCTCACGTTATTGACTAATGCCGAGTCCGTAAAAAGATATGTGGATATTCATCATTCTGTTGTGTATTTTAGTAAAAATAACCAAATAAAAAAACTCCATTTTTAAGTTTCCGCGAAAACGTTTCTCTGGACAATATAGTCTTACTAGTGTGTGACGTCATACAACTGTTATTAAAACGTCAAACGATACAATGTAATGTCATTTGAAGCGGAAGTTTACTTGCGTGTGACGTCATTTTAGGTTCCGCCAATCCCAAGTGTTTTGGGTCACGTGACAATAGATAAGAAAACTTATCTTTTTCGTAGGTTTTTAGTAAAATTATGAGTATTTTTTCTGTAAAAATAGTAAAAACCACTTTATTTTTATTACTGTCAAATACCCTATTTACTGACTTTGGGTAACAGTTTTGAATTGTCCCAATAGGTAAACACCCTCTCAGATCAGTATCGAACCTGCGTTGATAAAGTTTTAAAACGATTATATGTTCAAATATAGGACGACCTCAAATCCCAAGTAACAATGATGAAGAAGCAGTTGAAGGAAGCGAGCGATCAACAGGGCAAGGGTGAAGGCAAGCTGCAAGCCGTCACCAGCAACCTGCGGAGCGTGCAGGAAGATCGCGCGCGCCTGCAGGCCCAGTGCGGACAGCGGGAGGCGCAGCTCAACGCATTGGTGAGTATACTCACTCACTCAAGCTGCAGGCCGTCACCAGCGACCTGCGGAGCGTGCAGGAAGATCGCGCGCGCCTGCAGGCCCAGTGCGGACAGCGGGAGGCGCAGCTCAACGCATTGGTGAGTATACTCACTCACTCAAGCTGCAGGCCGTCACCAGCGACCTGCGGAGCGTGCAGGAAGATCGCGCGCGCCTGCAGGCCCAGTGCGGACAGCGGGAGGCGCAGCTCAACGCATTGGTGAGTATACTCACTCACTCAAGCTGCAGGCCGTCACCAGCGACCTGCGGAGCGTGCAGGAAGATCGCGCGCGCCTGCAGGCCCAGTGCGGACAGCGGGAGGCGCAGCTCAACGCATTGGTGAGTATACTCACTCACTCAAGCTGCAGGCCGTCACCAGCGACCTGCGGAGCGTGCAGGAAGATCGCGCGCGCCTGCAGGCCCAGTGCGGACAGCGGGAGGCGCAGCTCAACGCATTGGTGAGTATACTCACTCACTCAAGCTGCAGGCCGTCACCAGCGACCTGCGGAGCGTGCAGGAAGATCGCGCGCGCCTGCAGGCCCAGTGCGGACAGCGGGAGGCGCAGCTCAACGCATTGGTGAGTATACTCACTCACTCAAGCTGCAGGCCGTCACCAGCGACCTGCGGAGCGTGCAGGAAGATCGCGCGCGCCTGCAGGCCCAGTGCGGACAGCGGGAGGCGCAGCTCAACGCATTGGTGAGTATACTCACTCACTCAAGCTGCAGGCCGTCACCAGCGACCTGCGGAGCGTGCAGGAAGATCGCGCGCGCCTGCAGGCCCAGTGCGGACAGCGGGAGGCGCAGCTCAACGCATTGGTGAGTATACTCACTCACTCAAGCTGCAGGCCGTCACCAGCGACCTGCGGAGCGTGCAGGAAGATCGCGCGCGCCTGCAGGCCCAGTGCGGACAGCGGGAGGCGCAGCTCAACGCATTGGTGAGTATACTCACTCACTCAAGCTGCAGGCCGTCACCAGCGACCTGCGGAGCGTGCAGGAAGATCGCGCGCGCCTGCAGGCCCAGTGCGGACAGCGGGAGGCGCAGCTCAACGCATTGGTGAGTATACTCACTCACTCAAGCTGCAGGCCGTCACCAGCGACCTGCGGAGCGTGCAGGAAGATCGCGCGCGCCTGCAGGCCCAGTGCGGACAGCGGGAGGCGCAGCTCAACGCATTGGTGAGTATACTCACTCACTCAAGCTGCAGGCCGTCACCAGCGACCTGCGGAGCGTGCAGGAAGATCGCGCGCGCCTGCAGGCCCAGTGCGGACAGCGGGAGGCGCAGCTCAACGCATTGGTGAGTATACTCACTCACTCAAGCTGCAGGCCGTCACCAGCGACCTGCGGAGCGTGCAGGAAGATCGCGCGCGCCTGCAGGCCCAGTGCGGACAGCGGGAGGCGCAGCTCAACGCATTGGTGAGTATACTCACTCACTCAAGCTGCAGTCCGTCACCAGCGACCTGCGAAGTAATAATAAAAGAAATAATAATAGCAGATAGTTGACTATAGATAGACGTGGAAAACGATGCTAATGTAGTGTCAGAGTTTACTTTGAATCTAGAACGCGCCGAGCTCACAATTGACGTTCATCAAAGAGGAGCTCGATGACGCAAGTGGTTAGCGCGTTCGGCTGCTGTCGTTGAAGTTAAGCAACTTTCGCAGTGGTCGATCATTGGATAGGTGACCGAAATTCTTCTATCTCGAGATCCCCTGTGTTTCGGAAGGCACGTTAAACCGTTGGTCCCGACTGCATGTGCAGACCAATCTGCACAGAGCCCGCGTGGTGGTCACGGCCCGATCTCCATATTCCATCTATCGTGAAGGCCTGTGCCCTAACAGTGGGGACTTTAATGGGCTGATGACCGTCACCACCAGCCTGCAGTGCGGACAGCGGGAGGTGCAGCTCTCAACGCCTTGGTGAGTTTGTAAGTAGGGAAGAGGGCCAAATGGAAAGATCTTCCACCGAGCTGGGTGATATGAGCTCGTAGCCGTGGCCCCACCCGACTGACTGCTGTTGCTCGGGCTCCGCGTATATATTGTGTTGACTCGGAATTTCTTTAGCGCGATGTAGGATTTCCATACTGTTGACTGCGGACAGCGAGAGGCACAGCTCAACGCATTGGTGTGCGTACAAACCGCTCGGCCATGGAGGTCATCTAAAATATCGGGACTATTAATATTTATATTATTTATATACAGAACGAGTCAGTGCAGACGAAAACGGTTGAGATCAGCAACTTGAGAGACAAGATCACGAGCCTGGAGGCAACGCTCAGTTCCGTCACCGATGAGAAGGTCCAGAACGAGGTATGACTGAGGCTGATAGTCTTATTTGACAATAGGGCATCAGACTATTAAAGGACCTTAAATGCAACTTAATCCACCGTATTTCAAAACGTTGACTGAAGTTAAAACTACTATAAAACTGATGCTGTCACTTTTGATTGCTATAAAGAAGACAGAGACACCATAAGTTGAAAACCATCATTAACTTTAGTCTGCGATTTGGAATAAGGAGATTGTGTTTGAAAATAGTCGTGATAACAATCAGTCAGAAATTTTTAACCTGTCTAAAAATTATTACTGGCAATTTCTTTGCGATCGCAATAGAAGAAGGCACCACAAACATTAAATTTAATTGACGTTCCTGTGTGAGGTCTAAAACACAAAAAAAATATAGCAGAATATTTTTTTTACTCGAAAGTATGTGGTCAAATTATATTTAAAAAAAACTAGCAATTGCTTCCAAGTATCTTTTAGCTTTATGCTACTTGATTTAAGATTCACAATCAATTGAGAAAACTCAAGGCTTTGTAGTGACCTCGATGTTGATTCTTTTGAGTTAAAGTAATTATCGTGCATCAATGTTAATTTTTGATCCAGTTTACACCAAGGTATAATACATGTATTTAACAAGTTATATACAATGTCTTCATTTTTTGTTCACACTCATATATACGTATATAACATTTTGTATAAATACTTGTATTAAAGTTGTTGGAGAAAAAATTATGTGAAGTAAATGAGTGATTGATACGTGTCAGATACTAGTTGGCTATGGAGTGTAAACGAAAAAATGTTTTAAACAATAACAACAAGTATTCTACAACTTAAGAAAGTATTACTAGAAAAAATTCCACGCGGACCAGTCGGCAGACGGGACTCGAACCCGCACCCTTCGCTATCCGGGTGAATGCACTGACTAATTATGTTACCACAGCCCTGATGGCCGTGTCGAATTCTTTCTAACCTTTCCTAAGCTGCAAGGCAGCGCCATCTCTTATATTTAAAAAAAATAAAATTATAAGTATTCTGCAAGTTTTGTACAAAACCAATTTATGACTCGTTTCTTGGTGTAAATGCGGGATTATAGTTACTTAAACACAACATCACAAAATATATTATGTGCTTACTCATATGTATTTGTTATCAACTTGCGTTCGATATCCGATGTTTTAGGAATAAGAAGTACGTACTTACGGCATGTTAGATTTTCGAAATACGCAACGTTAATCGAAACGACGTAAGTCGAGACATCCCCACGGATATTGACCTGTCGATAAGTGAATTCTCCTATGCCCGAAAACGAAACAATTGACGTATGTTTGTGGAATAGTGTCAAATCATTGTTCGACGTAACTTTAAACGACGTAAGTCGAGGACTGCCTGTATGTTAAAAAGGACAACAATTGAGACTCGATCTTTCCGTTCACTTAGCAAGATAGACACGTTCATATTTTGTCGACAGCACGCAGGCTAACTTTAAAAAATGTATTTCAGAACAAATCGGAAAACTTGCGTGTACAATTAGCAGAACGGGTGCAGGAAGTGGCGCAACTACGAGAGGCATTAGCGGCTGCAGAAGGTAATGAATACCTTAATTTATACCTTGTAAGGACCCGACAAAGCAGTTTAAGTGAGCGAATGTGAAAGTTAAGCAACCATCGCAATGGTCAGTCATAAGATGGGTGACCAGAAATTTGTTGTACTGAGTTCTTCCGTGCTTTGGATAGTTCGGAAAGTCCAACATTGTCCTATCTTCATCCGTAGTAGGTAATATCTCCGAATTTGCACTGGTCTCGCTTTGTGGGTAGCTTATTATGAATTTTGTGTAATCAAATTTTATATTATTTATAGATACAAATCGTTACATTTAGTTGGTTGAGTTTTATTATCAGATCTGTTAGACGGAATCGATACACACAAACACACACGTTATAAAAAAAAGATATAGCTTGGCCTCTGGTTAGAGACCAGCGTCATGTTATGAACTGCAGACTTTTTTGCTATTTCATCCAATCCCAGTTTTTATATTAATACTGTTATTTATCGTCTTAGTATCGTAGAGATCGATCGAGGAGCTAGAGGGCGCAGGTGGTTAGCGTCGGCTGCGATCGTTGAAGTTAAGCATCTTTCATAGTGGTCGGTCATTGGATGGGTGACTAAAAATCTTCTATCTCGAGTTCCCCCGTGCTTCGGAAGGCACGTTAAGCCGTTGGTCCCGGCTGCATCTGCAGTCGTTAGCACCCGCCAATCCGCACTGGGCTCACGTGGTGGGTCATGGCCCAATCTCCCTATTCCATCCATAGGGAAGGCCTGTGCCCCAGCAGTGGGGACATTAATAGGCTGATGATGATGACTATCGTAGAGATTACTAATACTGCAGTAACCTAAAAAAATATTTCTTTCATTAAAGTCTAAAGACGACCTCCGTGGCCGAGTGGTTTGTACGCCGGGTTTCATGGCTATCGCCGACTCGAGAGGTCCCGGGTTCAAATCCCGGTGGGGGCAGATGTTTGTGTGATGAATACGAGCATTTGTACTCCAGTCATGAATGTTTAATATGTATTTATATAAATATACTTATATATGTACAGTATATGTATTCTATCTGTTACCCTAGCATCCCATAACACAAGCCTTATAGTGCTTACTTTGGGGCTAGGATAATTGGTGTGAGTGTTGGAAATATTTATTATTTATTATTATAACGGTAGCCTATAAACTAAGATAGTTACTTATAGTTATAATTTTTATTATTTTTAAAGCATGTAACTGCTTGATATTTAAATCTAAAGAAAATATAACTAGAAAAACATCCACGCGGACCAGGCAGCAGACGGGACTCGAACCCGCACCCTTCGCAATCCGGGCGAATGCACTGACCAATTATGCGTTGCAACTTAAGAATGGGTAGAAGAATTTCGACGCGGTCCGTGAGGGCCGCGGTAGCATAATTGGTCAGTGCATTCGCCCGGATTGCGAAGGGTGCGGGCTCGAGTCCCGTCCGCTGCCTGATCCGCGTGGAATTTTTTTCTAGTTACTTATAATTGGTGATATATATATATACATAATTTATTAACTTTATTTATAAAGGTCGTGCGGCTCGTTTAGATGTCCGTCGTGCTCAATTAGAAGGCGATATACAGCGAGCTGCCGTCGCAGCACGAGACAGAGATCAGGCGCTCAAGGTAAACACTACGTTAACCATATAGACATAAGGTCCAATATATACCACAATCAGAAGCCTGTATGTTTCAGGCGTAAACATTACTTTACTTCAAAGGAATAAGGTCCAATATAATACACACCGAAACTGGGACCAAACTCTCATAGGAAACACTGCTTTAATTTCATAGGTATAAGGTCCTCAATGTAGCTCAACTAGAGGGCGGTAATCCGCCCTATATAAAGAATATCATTACAATGGGATAGTTGACCAGTACTGCTAGTACGAATATTGCAATCCACCTAACGGTATTTATTTATTTATTTATTTTTAGGGAAATAACAGCATTCATTTTTACATAAAAATACAACATTAAGTTTAAACAATTGCCTAGGTAATTTCCACTATTATTTATCTCACATAGTGTCTAATAAACATGAGAGAAAAAAGAAACAATTTTTGGTATCTCAATGAACATAAACAAAACAAAAAGAAATAAAAATGTTGTGAAATGAGTATTCCTATATAACCTGTATTCCTCCTAACAGTATATAGTAAATGTGTGCCAGCTTCCGCCAATATTTGAGTGTTATCAGTATACACTAATTATCTATGATAATAATAAATAATAATATGTATATACACATACTTTAATCGTTCATAATTTTTTTTTTGCCTAAACAGTAGGACACGGCATTCCTAAACTTTGTTAAACCATATTTGTTTCTTAGGTTTTCACGCACATCACTCATTAAATAAAACTAGTTTTTACGGGTTAATGCACGAAACTTTATTTATTTATTGACGTTTCGCAGCCTTTTCAGGTCTGCATCGTCAGAATAATGATTTTATTTAAAATTGTCGAGCTACCTTCGAAAGAATTATATTGTGCGTTCGGTTATTTCATTGGAAGATTTTTAAATGCATTAGGGGGGACCAAACCACTACATTAGATTTGATAGACCACAGATCCTTGCAGCTGAGCGGCGGTTCGTTCCTCGAATGATGCGCGAGGCTATTGAGATTAAAAAATATCCAAATTTCAATAGGGAAGATGGTTGGTATATACCACCAGCTTGGGAACCTATTATACAGGAGATAAAATCCCAACCCCGAGCACACACTGCAAGACCATCAGATACTATTAGTTCTTTTATTACAAACAAGAATTTTAAATAAAATACTTTATTAAGTAAATTAAATAATAAATTCATACATAGACAATAAAATTTTAAAAATCTTCCAATGAAATAACCGAACGCACAATATAATTCTTTCGAAGGTAGCTCGACAATTTTAAATAAAATCATTATTCTGACGATGCAGACCTGAAAAGGCTGCGAAACGTCAATAAATAAATAAAGTTTCGTGCATTAACTCGTAAAAACTAGTTTTATTTGTTAAACCAGTTTTTCATATTTTTTTTGATTTTATAGTCATATTTTTTATATTATTTGCATTTGTCATGGAAAGTGACTTTATGAGTTACCTCATATTGAAGCCATTTTTCAACTTAACGACTCTGTATATAATACAGGGAGAAAAAAACAGCCCTTGCTGAGTTCTGCTCAGTACAAGATCTCCCGCCGTAGATTTGCGAACCGATGGCGTAGCTTTTCGACATTCACAAGTGCTTGAAACAGCCTTATGAATATGTATTTTATGATGATTGTCTTTTTATCACTAATTATCCTTCAACCAAAAATTGGTGGATCTTCGTGGATTGTAATATCTGTACTAGCAGTACTGGTCAACTACCCCATTGCAATGATATTCTTTATATAGGGCGGATTACCGCCCTCTGGTTGAGCTACATAGACACTTATACCTATGAAATTAAACATTATCTGTAGTCTACATAAAATCATAGGCTATTTGATAAGTTTTAGAAAACGATCTCACGTTATTTTCTAATGGGTCTAGTCCATCAAAAGTGGATATTCTTCATTCTGTTTTGTCTTTCAGAAAAAAAAACTAAATGAAAATCTCCTTATGTTTTTATTTATTTTTGAACATTTAACTGCTAGATGTTTAAATCTAAGGAAAAGTATTAATTACTAGAAAAAAATCCACGCGGACCAGGCATCGGGCGGGACTCGAACTCGCACCCTTCGCAATCCGGGCGAATGGACTGACCATTATGCTACCACGGCCCTATTGGCCGCGTCGAAATTTTCCTAGCTTTAAGCTGCAAGGCAGCGCCATCTCTTCGCATTGTAGGTAACCCACAATGTCAAATGAATACTTTTTCAAGTGTTTTAATGGTCAGTGCATTCGCCCGGATTGCGAAGGGTGCGGGTTCGAGTCCCGTCCGCTACTTGGTCCGCGTGGATTTTTTTCTAGAAAAACTCCTTTTTCAAGAACTTAAAAAAAAAACTTTTTTGAATCAGATTTTGTATCCCTAATTACCTAACATTGGGCAGTGCATAAGACATAGGGGAATGGAACAGCGCACGCATCATCATCATCATCAACAGCCTATCCTAGTCCACTGCTGGACATAGGCCTCTCCAAATGCACGCCACTCAGATCGATCTTGGGCTACTCGCATCCAACTCCTGCCAGCCACCTTTCACAAATCGTCACTCCATCGCGCCTGAGGACGTCCTACACTACGTTTGCCTAGACGCGGTCTCCACTCCAGAACTCGTCTACCCCAACAGTTATCGGTTCTTCGGCAAATATGGCCAGCCCACTGCCAGTTCAGCTTGCTAATCCGGTGGGCTATGTCGATAACTCTGGTTCTCTGTCGGATTACCTCATTTGTGATGCGATCCTTCAGAGAAACGCCGAACATAGCCCTTTCCATAGCGCACGTATCACTCATACATACAGGTGTTACAAAAATAAAAATAAATTTGAAGGGCGTTGAAGTACATCATATAAGGAGTCTTCTCTAATTTTCTTAAAATGTTTGCATGAAGTTTTAATTTTTTACAAAAACAATTATTTTTAATGATCCTCGAACTAGTTCGATATTTTTATTAATCATTAAAAATAACTGTTTTTATAAAAATTTAAAACTTCATGCAAATATTTTTAAAAAATTAGAGAAGACTCCTTATACGGTGTACTTCAACGCCCTTCAAGCTTTATTTGTATTTTTGTAACACCCTGTATATATTGTTGCGTGAGATGCTCGTGACGCTCGTAGCGTTTCAGCCTTCGCTAAGTTACCCTCAAACTAGTTCCACGGGAAGAGCTGCGCACGCTATCGCAAACACACACACACACACACACACACACACACACACATATATACACTCGGGTGACACTCGTGACGCATTTCCGTTTCATTTTTTTTATAGAATTTTCTATTTACACCCCGTCCCAAGAGAAGTTTTACTTCAAAAGATAATTTGACTTCTACTCTATCCTCTAGAAACTGCAAGAACGCTGCGAAGGCTACACACGCACTATAACCTCGCTAGAAGAAAGGTGTACCTCTCTTAAGGGTACTGTGGAACAGCTCTCCGCTTCGCTGCAAAAGGCGGCCGCCGCTGAAAGCGAATTACGTTCCGATCTCGCCAAGACTCAGCGCCAACTGAATGAGGCCAAGAACAACGAGCACAGTGCTGTAGACAAGCTGAGACAGATGCAGAAGAATGTCTGTGAGTTTCTTACTAAAAACTTATAAGAAAAACTAGCAAACCAGTGAACCAAATGTTCACCAAAAAAAAAATGTATTTAATTAATTGAGAACTTCGGAAATTTTGTGTGGTTTCGTTTGAAATAGAAATCACGTGATTTCTCGAAAACCGGAAGTGCTACGTTACTCACATCCGGTTTGTAGTCTTATCAGACTATTCTTAACTTATAACTTAAACATTCTCTATATCTATCTCTTACGGTTTGGCCGCTGAAACAGCACCACGGACGGACGGATGGACTTGTCTAATAGATAAGAGATAGCTAGCTCAGCGTACTTCATAACGCCATAGAAATATGGGTGGTAGAAGGGTGAAAATTTAGGGTTGTATGTATTTTTGTATGATGTATGTATCATGAATAAATAAAACAAAAAAAAATATCCAAAAAAAATTTAAGGGTGGACCCTTAACATTTAGGGGAATGAAAACTAGATTTTGTCCGAATCTCAGACCTACTGAATATGCGTATAAAATTTCACGAAAATCGGTCGAGCCGTTTCGGAGTAGTTCAATTACGCACAGCGTGACACGAGAATTTTATATATTGGAAATACTTATAAACCGAAGCTATGTAGTTTAACAGTTGGCTGAGTATTCACATCTCACATAATTATGAATCTGGCTTTGTTTTGACTACCTCCGTGGATGAGTGGTTTGTCGCCGGGTTTCAAGGTGTCGCCTACTCGAGAGGTTCCGGGTTCGAATCTCGGGCAGGGGGGGGGGGGGGGTGCAGATGATTGTGTGATGAATACCAGCGTTTGTATTCCAGTTAGGAATGTTAATATGTATTTCTATATAAATACACTTATATATGTGTAAATGGGGTTCATCACCCTTCATTCAATACGGACGGTAAAATAGTGAGTGACCATAGAAAAAGATATAGTTTTGACATCCGTCAATAAATAAAATATAATATTTGTGCACGGAAAATTGTACGAAATAATAGTTATAAATGTTGTTTCTCATTTCTGAGCAACACAATTGTTTTATTTCGTAATTAAATCTATTTAGTTCATAAAATGACATTATATATGTATCAGTAAATGTATTCTGTCCGTTTGGGCTAGGCCAATTGGTGTCAGTATTGGAAATATTTATTTATTATTACCACGAAGAACTAAGACTTGATTAATAGACCATTTAACACAAACATTAATTAACATCGTAAATAACAGATGAAGCAAAATACTACTACTTTGCTCACATGATTAAACAATGGTCCAATAGTTTCATTGCTTTCTATTAAAATAAAATTATAGCTTTAGGGTAAAATGAAATAATATAATTACTCAACCAAAGAAATTATAACAAAAAGCTATGCTTCCTATTGTGAAAGGATTAGTCAAAAATATTATTTTGAATATGTGATGGTTTTCAAACCTACACTCCACGTGCAACAAATGTCAAATTTGCTATAATTTTTATATATTTTATGTCAAAATTTAAACGTCAGGATTAAAAGTTTCACCCAGAGCGTATGTTAATAACGTGGTTTTGAATGGGCAAGTTGCTTGTTTATAAGTCAAGTGGCCAAATCAGCATCTGTAATGAGAATTGAGTTTCTTCTCCATTGCATTATACATAGATAGTAATACATCGTCATCATCAGCCTCTTAATGACCCCACTGCTGGGGCACAGGCCTTCCCTATGGATGGAATAAGGAGATTGAGCCATGACCCACCACGCGGGCCCAGTGCGTATTGGCAGGTGCTAACGACTGCAGATGCAGCCGGGACCAACGACTTAACCTGCCTTCCGAAGCACGGAGGAACTCGAGATAGAAATTTTTTGGTCACCCATCCGATGATCGACCACTGCGGAAGTTTGCTTAACTACAACGATCGCAGCCGAACGCGCTAACCACCTGCGCCATCGAGCTCCTCGTATGTAATACATAACATTCACAAACAATTAACTCAACGAAAGAGTTATAATTGGCGGTGTTATCGCTAAGAGCGATTTGTTCCAGACAACCATATAATATTATAATATTTTGTTGTACATTATATCACAGCAAATTGCGAGAATGAAAGACGAGTTTTAACCGAGAAGCTGGAGAGCGCTAAATCTGCTCTGGGCGAACTGAAGAGGCTCAACTCTTCGCTGGAAGACCAGGTGCATCGCCTCACCAACCAGCTATCCAACGTGGAGGTTCAGAGGTATATCTTCGTATTCTTATGGTCTGATTCACCTCACTCTCTGTCGGAATCCAGGTAATAAAAAAATATACTTTAATGTGTCCCAAATTTTACCCACATCAGCATTTTTTTTGTATAATTGAGTAAGACACATTCAAACGTACAAACTTTGTACGTTTGTAATATTAGTAAGAAGACGAGTCAAAATGTATCATAATCTACAACAGCCTGTCTTAGCCCACTGCTGGACAAAGGCCTCTCCAATTCCACGTCACTGAGATCGATATTGGGACAAAATGTATATTTAAATCTAAAGCTGCTGCATAACTTACATATATAAGTATATAGCTACATAATATTAAAAACATTGTCGCCGATTTTGGCATGATTCTCTAAACTTAAAACTAAATTTAACATCGGTCTTTCCTTTTCCTTCTGCATAGTGAATGACAAGGATATACTGTTGTCAAATTTAATTTTAGGTTGAGAGAATCATGCCAATGCCACCAAATTTTTGAAACATATTCTCAATATAAGACAGAAAAATTCCACTACACTTATTTTTAATACATTTCATGTTATATAAAAACAGACTACATTGAAGAACCACTTACTTATTGTTTCTCTTTATACATAAGTTACATTTTAGCTAGCTAGCGTAGCTTCTTGACCTTCACAAGTGCTTGTAACAGCCTAGACTGAATAAATGACTTTTCATTTCATTTATAATATTGAATACAGATCCGGCCTAGAGTCCCAACTGCGCATGACCACGTGGGACGGCAAAGACAGCAGCGATAGCGAGTTAGAACGAGAACTGCATAACTTACAGCGTGAAAGATCCGAACTGAAGGCCAAATGTGACGCCTTACAAGACAGAGTGAGCAAACTGGAGGCCGAACGACGCATGGTCACCAGACCCTCGGCTTTAAGAAGCAAGAGCCATGACAGGGCTGATAAGAGTGTCTACTACTCAGACCTGGATTCAGGTATGTTAAAAAATTGTAACCTGAGCGATCTAAACTTGGGGACCAAGTGTGTTACCTTGTGGAACTCCGTGAAAACGCAGCATTACAGCGCTGAGGAGTAAATGTAGTTAAAATCAACAAGATTGTATATTACTCCCATTTAGACTCAGGTATTATATTTGATTAGATCAAATTATTGAGAGCTTCGAATTAGAGGCATTAGTGTGATGCCTCACAAGACACAGAGAGCAAACTGGAGGCCGAACGATGCATTATTTTTTCTAATAAAATTTTCTTTAGTTTCAAACATCTAGCAGTTAAATGCTTAAGAAACAAAAATATAATTATAAAATAGTGATTCCAAAATAAGGCCAAAAATAAAGACCAAATTTGAATAACATAATATTTTCTACGTTAGGTGCCGATTCGACGAAGGATTCTATACGTCCTTATAAGGACGTTTGCATCCCGACCAAGGACAAGGGATGCGTTGATCTCACACTTCTAGAGCTCGAGAATAGAGAACTGAAAGTCAAAATAAGACGGTTGGAGAAGGACTTGGCTGATAAGGTAGGATTACAAAGAACTATTCATAGCGGTATTTTATTTTTAGGTTTACTATTGAGGCGAAGTAGCTGAATATAATTAGAAATCAGTCTACTGTACAGTATGGATTAAATCCTTCATGTAGATAGAACTACGACATTCGATATATCGATACTCCGATTCAGCAGAGTATGGTAAATTTGATAGCTGTTTTAGGAGTGATAATGGGGTGAAGTAAACGCAATTCTAATAAGCCCGTCAGATAGATTGTTAAAAAATAATAGACACATGTTTTTTAAGGTTCCGTACCTCAAAAGGAAAAACGGAACCCTTATAGGATCACTTTGTTGTCCGTCTGTCCGTCCGTCCGTCTGTCAAGACCCTTTTTCTCAGGAACGCGTGGAGGTATGAAGCTGAAATTTATATCAATTACTCAGGTCTACTGTCCCTTGAAGCTGTGAAAAAATCAAACTTCTAAGCCAACGCAATCAAAAGATACAGCCGTTTATGCCGCAAATTTCCGCAACTTTTCGAAACTCGCACGGGAATCAAAACCTACAGGGTACTTCCCATGAACTTAGAATCTTGAAATTTGGTACGAAGTAACGTCTTATCGTACAGATAAAGGAAAAATTGCGAAAACTATAAATTTTTAGTTACATCATATAAGAAAAAATATTTTTGAAAATTTTAAAGTTACTACCACTTTTCTCATGAACGCGTAGAGGTATTAAATTGAGTTTGTACGGAACCCTCGGTGCGCGAGTCCGACTCGCACTTGGCCGGTTTTTTTTCAATCAACCTAAAAATTTTAAAGATTGAGCGCGTCAAAGTTTGGGAGTGGGTGTTCGTGACGTCAGATGTAAATAACAATTGAATCAGCACGTGACATTTTAAATCAATATATCTGTGTAATGTTTTGATTATGTGTAAAAATATGTTTTTAATACTTTTTGATAACCTAACTGATAGTTGAAGAAAAAAGTTAGTCAACATCCTTATTCAATATTGGGCATGATTCTATTACGATTATCTAAACTTAAAACTGCATTTGACAATATAGGTATCAATTCTGGCATGTATCTCTAAAGCTAAACTTAAATTTGACAATAGTGTATCCTTGTCTTTCTTTATATAGAATGAAATGGAGAGACTGATGTTTAATTTAGTTTTATGTTTAGATAATCATGCCACACGATACCAGTATCTGCTTTTCTCTGTTTAAAGATTGTAATAAGTATGAACTGTACTCATATTAAGTTTGGTTTACAGAATCATGCCTATTGTATATATAAAACACGCAAGGAAAAAGTTTTGTTAGTTTAGCTGTGATTTCTATTTTATTTCTGTTAGCAGCTGCTGCTTGTTCTAGATAACATTCGAAAGACTTGAATGCGTTAATAAGATCTGCGTGTGACCAGATTCAGCGAATAACTTTTGATGTTTTAAAATCTTGTGTCGATAGATGGATTAGAGTTAATGTTCTATTGACAATAGATGCTTAGAAATTTAGGATGTTTTTTTCTATTGTGAACGTCTCCTTTTCTTTTATAAAATCGCTTTCTGTATGATTAATTTCCGATATTATTGTGTATAGATACACTATGCCAGCATTAGATGGCACGGCTGATTCTAATTTGTATAGAGTTTTAACATCCATTTTTATCTACCTCCTTAAAAATCAAAGAATAGCCGCCTTATTACGAAACTTCGCAAAGTAAGGTCTGGTTTAAACCGAAACAGAGAATACAGAGTTGACAATATTATTGTTATGCACGGTTTAATTTTCGTCACTGATTTGTAATGAGTGATTTTTGTGTACTGTACGATGCACAAAACACACACTTTTTCGATAAAAAAAATATATTTGGCCAAATGATATTAAAAACGGATGTTAAAATTCGCACGTAAGTCGTTGACTAAGATGTTTTTGTAATTTTTAATTTCATCCCTCTTATCTAACTAAATTCACTGATTTTTTACTCCGTCCATGTAACATGAGAGTGACACGTATTTTATCACGTCTAACTGTCAAACTCGATAGTAATTTGACAACTGAACGTGATGAAAGCGAGCTATATATCATATCTTAGTGCTCATGCTATCATATAAAACTTTTCAAAAAGTAACATCGCGTTTTCAATTTTAAAAAGCATCTTTGTCTTAATGTCAGCGACTTATACGCAACTAGTAGCTTAACATACGCGGTGTGTCGACGAAGGACGCAGTGCGGGGGTACAGGGACTGCTGCGGGCCTTGCAAGGGGTTAGGGTCGGCCAGCGCCACCTTGCTCGAGCTGGAGAACAGGGAGCTTCGGGTCAAGATCAGGAGGCTGGAGAAGGAGCTCGCCGACAAGGTGAGGGTAGTTTGTGAGGCGTGAGTTAAACGCGCAGTAGGTTACTAGGAGATTAGCTTCCGATATCCTCGAAAATAACGACATAAACTTACTATTGATTTTGATAACATGTTCCGTGGATATGTTGCTGCTTGAAACTGACTGAGAATGACAGTAAATGTCAATTCAATGTGTGTAAAAACAAATGACGCTTTGTTCAGAGCCGACTCTGGGGGCGGTTACGCGTTGTTGAATGCCTGTTAGCTGTCGCCAAGCCAACGAAGTAGACTTAGCGACTCAAAATAAGTCTTGATCGATATTAGAGATCTGGTGGCAGTTTTTACGCGTTGGCTACACAGAGTTCTTTAAGATTCCTCACAAACTCATCAAGCTAGGACATAGTTGTGGGGTTCAGGGACTACTGCTCGAGCTGGAGCACAAGGAGCTGCGAGTCAAGATTAGGAGGCTAGAGAAGGAGCTCGTCGACAAGGTGAGGGTAGTTTGTGAGCCGTGAATTACACGGAAAGTTAGTAGAAAGACAGCCATCGCAATTATAAACGTATAGCTGTTTATTTCTTCCGCTAAATATTTTTTGCTTAGAACTGAGTGAGAATGACGCTTTCTCCAGAGCTGACTCTCTAGGCGCAGTGGTATAACCTTATCAACGTCTTGACTTATTAAATCGACATTTAAAATAAAGCAATAGGATCGACTTTACTTCGTTGGCTTTGGTACCCAACACGAGTCTTGTCCCTCGACGTTAAAGATTTGGTGGCAGCATGTAGCTGTAGCTGAGGGGGGTGGGGGCAATATGGGGGCCTACCTACCTCAAAATACCACTTCCCTACTTTAAAACAGGGCGACAGGCCGCGAAGGGCGGCATGACCCTGCTTATGCCCTGCCTCAAAGTACCGCTGCCCTATCTTAAATACAATTCTGGCTACTGCCGTAACATGACCGTTCCGAACAGTAGCAGGCCATACAAGTCATCTTCCAAGCTTTCACGACTATTCTCCGACCAAAGGCTTCTAGGTAGAGTTTCAAGAGTTTGGTAGCATAGATTGTGTGAAAGTCAGAGTACCTAGATCAGTAGATTCGTGTCTAGGTAATGGTGTATCCGTTATAGTAGTATAGCTATTGTGACTTGTGAGTTTGTAGTACATAAGGCTGGTTTGAAGGTATGTTTAAGTATAAGGTAGATCTCGTTTCTGGGATTTTAGCTATTGTGATGCGTTATTGAGAATAATTGTTATTATTATTGTTCATGTCACAGGTCAAGTTAGCCCTTTGAATTTCTCAAACTAATTTTAAACTGTATCTTGCTTCATATAAGATTTATAATCGATTAATAATATTTTCGAATTTGCGGTAACTTGATGTGTTGTTCACTGTACTTACACGTAGAAGCACTCACTGGCTCCTTTTGACATAAGCAACACACTTTTCTCTATTGCACTTGCACCTATTATTTCCTTGTTTGTACTGTGTGTGTCCAGGATAGTACAGCATATACTTAACGATGAATTCACCTGTCTAAATGGTTAGGAAAGAAGAATATTTTATCTGTTTTATAACCAGTTAGGAAAAAGCGAATAAAAATTCTTCTTTCCTAGATGGTCAAGATTAACACGTGATGATTAATAGTATATAAGAACTATTAATATTATTGGAATGTATTTTTTACCATAGACCATTTTTTGTAGTCATCAGACACAACACTTAATTATTGAAGGTGTTAAGTAATTATTACCGAAAACGAAGAAAATAGAAAAGCAAATAGTTTTATTTATTTTACAGTTACTACTATTTTTCAAATCAATAAATGCAACTAAATAATATCACCACAAACATGGAATAATTTTTAATCACTTTTTCCTAACTGGTTGTGAAATAAAAATTTCTTAAGAAAATATGACTAGAAAAATTTCCACGCGGACCAGGCAGCAGACGGGACTCGAACCCGCACCCCTCGCAATCCGGGCGAATGCACTGACCAATTATGCTACCGCGGCCCTCACGGACCGCGTCGAAATTCCTCTAGCCATTCTTAAGCTGCAAGGCAGCGCCATCTCTTCGCACTATAGGCAACCCATAATGTCAAATGAATATGAAGATGTACACATCAAGCAGTTACATGCTTTAAAAAAATAATAATTATAAAAATTTCTTCTTTGAAGTTCTTAACTAGTTAGGAAAAAGTGAATAAAAATTCTGTTTTTCTTAGATAGTTAAGAAACGAATCAAAGGAATCTCCCCATTCTATCATTACAGGAGACACTAATAGACTGATGATGTCTATTTTTCTATTCGTTCTCCACTTAGGAAGCTGAGTTATCCCAGGCGCGTAGTCGGTACATGTCAGAGCTGGGGTGCCGTTCTCCTAGCCGTCGCGAAGACGTTGAGCAATACAGACAAGCGGCACTGGAGGCTGAACGAATGCTGGAGACCAGGGAGGCCAACTATCGCCACCAGATCATGCGGCTGGAGCACCAGGTATTGTTATCTGGACGTCATGATCTCCGTATACCCTTAAGCTCTATACAGACAAGCGGTTTCAGGCCAGCGACTGCTGCAGACCAGGGAGGCCAACAAGACCTTTATTCCCAGTCGTCCTCGTGGGGATTGCCACCAGAGGAAAATGAGATGAGTGTAATGATTTTCTTCCTTCTTTCCTATTTTTGACAACCTCCGTGGCTGAGTGGTTTGTATGCCGCCGGGTTTCATGGTGTTGCCGACTCGAGAGGTCCCGGGTTCGAATCTTGGTGGGGGCAGATGTTTGTGTAATGAATACCAGCATTTGTACTCCAGTCATGGATGTTTAATATGTATTTCTATATATATACTTATATATGTAAAATATATGTATTCTATCCGTTACCCTAGTATACCATGACACAAGCCTTGCAGTGCTTACTTTGGGGCTAGGCTAATTGGTGGGAGTTTAAAAAAAAAACATTTGTCTCCGGTGGTAAATGGGATTAAAAAGATTCACACTCATTTTTATCGTTAAACAATAGACAGTCATTGTATATCATAGAATTGTTGATCGTTCAGGCGGCGCAGCTTCGTTCGCAACTATCGGCGGAGATCCGGCGCCGGCAGTCGTACGTGGCCCGCAGCGGGCGCGCCGCGCGGGACATGCAGCGCCTGCGCAGCGCGCTCGGAGACTCCCTGCGCACCGTGTCGCAGGTACAATAGATCCGGCGCCGGCAGTCGTACGTGGCCCGCAGCGGGCGCGCCGCGCGGGACATGCAGCGCCTGCGCAGCGCGCTCGGAGACTCCCTGCGCACCGTGTCGCAGGTACAATAGATCCGGCGCCGGCAGTCGTACGTGGCCCGCAGCGGGCGCGCCGCGCGGGACATGCAGCGCCTGCGCAGCGCGCTCGGAGACTCCCTGCGCACCGTGTCGCAGGTACAATAGATCCGGCGCCGGCAGTCGTACGTGGCCCGCAGCGGGCGCGCCGCGCGGGACATGCAGCGCCTGCGCAGCGCGCGAGCGAGACTCCCTGCGCACCGTGTCGCAGGTACAATAGATCCGGCGCCGGCAGTCGTACGTGGCCCGCAGCGGGCGCGCCGCGCGGGACATGCAGCGCCTGCGCAGCGCGCGAGCGAGACTCCCTGCGCACCGTGTCGCAGGTACAATAGATCCGGCGCCGGCAGTCGTACGTGGCCCGCAGCGGGCGCGCCGCGCGGGACATGCAGCGCCTGCGCAGCGCGCGAGCGAGACTCCCTGCGCACCGTGTCGCAGGTACAATAGATCCGGCGCCGGCAGTCGTACGTGGCCCGCAGCGGGCGCGCCGCGCGGGACATGCAGCGCCTGCGCAGCGCGCGAGCGAGACTCCCTGCGCACCGTGTCGCAGGTACAATAGATCCGGCGCCGGCAGTCGTACGTGGCCCGCAGCGGGCGCGCCGCGCGGGACATGCAGCGCCTGCGCAGCGCGCGAGCGAGACTCCCTGCGCACCGTGTCGCAGGTACAATAGATCCGGCGCCGGCAGTCGTACGTGGCCCGCAGCGGGCGCGCCGCGCGGGACATGCAGCGCCTGCGCAGCGCGCGAGCGAGACTCCCTGCGCACCGTGTCGCAGGTACAATAGATCCGGCGCCGGCAGTCGTACGTGGCCCGCAGCGGGCGCGCCGCGCGGGACATGCAGCGCCTGCGCAGCGCGCGAGCGAGACTCCCTGCGCACCGTGTCGCAGGTACAATAGATCCGGCGCCGGCAGTCGTACGTGGCCCGCAGCGGGCGCGCCGCGCGGGACATGCAGCGCCTGCGCAGCGCGCGAGCGAGACTCCCTGCGCACCGTGTCGCAGGTACAATAGATCCGGCGCCGGCAGTCGTACGTGGCCCGCAGCGGGCGCGCAGCGCGCTCGGAGACTCCCTGCGCACCGTGTCGCAGGTACAATAGATCCGGCGCCGGCAGTCGTACGTGGCCCGCAGCGGGCGCGCCGCGCGGGACATGCAGCGCCTGCGCAGCGCGCGAGCGAGACTCCCTGCGCACCGTGTCGCAGGTACAATAGATCCGGCGCCGGCAGTCGTACGTGGCCCGCAGCGGGCGCGCCGCGCGGGACATGCAGCGCCTGCGCAGCGCGCGAGCGAGACTCCCTGCGCACCGTGTCGCAGGTACAATAGATCCGGCGCCGGCAGTCGTACGTGGCCCGCAGCGGGCGCGCCGCGCGGGACATGCAGCGCCTGCGCAGCGCGCGAGCGAGACTCCCTGCGCACCGTGTCGCAGGTACAATAGATCCGGCGCCGGCAGTCGTACGTGGCCCGCAGCGGGCGCGCAGCGCGCGAGCGAGACTCCCTGCGCACCGTGTCGCAGGTACAATAGATCCGGCGCCGGCAGTCGTACGTGGCCCGCAGCGGGCGCGCCGCGCGGGACATGCAGCGCCTGCGCAGCGCGCGAGCGAGACTCCCTGCGCACCGTGTCGCAGGTACAATAGATCCGGCGCCGGCAGTCGTACGTGGCCCGCAGCGGGCGCGCCGCGCGGGACATGCAGCGCCTGCGCAGCGCGCGAGCGAGACTCCCTGCGCACCGTGTCGCAGGTACAATAGATCCGGCGCCGGCAGTCGTACGTGGCCCGCAGCGGGCGCGCAGCGCGCGAGCGAGACTCCCTGCGCACCGTGTCGCAGGTACAATAGATCCGGCGCCGGCAGTCGTACGTGGCCCGCAGCGGGCGCGCAGCGCGCGAGCGAGACTCCCTGCGCACCGTGTCGCAGGTACAATAGATCCGGCGCCGGCAGTCGTACGTGGCCCGCAGCGGGCGCGCCGCGCGGGACATGCAGCGCCTGCGCAGCGCGCTCGGAGACTCCCTGCGCACCGTGTCGCAGGTACAATAGATCCGGCGCCGGCAGTCGTACGTGGCCCGCAGCGGGCGCGCCGCGCGGGACATGCACGCAGGTACAACGATGTTTTTGTTTGTTTATAGATAGGATAGGTTTTTTGTAGGTAGGTAATTTTGAGGATCTCGAGGGCGCAACTGGTAAGCGAGTTCGGCTGCGATCGTTGAAGTTAGACAACTTTCGCGAAAAGATCGTTTAAAGTGGTCGATCATTGGATGGATGACCAAAAATTTATTATCACAGCTCCTCCGTGCTTCGGAAGGCACGTTGAGCCCAGCTGCATCTGCAGGCGTTAGCACCCGCCAATCCGCACTGGACCAGCGTGGTGGGTCATGGCTCACTCTCTATTCCATCCATTGGGTAGGCCTGTGCCCCAGCAGTGGGGACATTAATCTCCTTAATGATGATAGATAGGTCCGAGAAATGACTCCACCCCACCTGATGTTAAGTGACGATGAAGTGCAGACGTGAAGATAGCTGGTACAGCAGTTCTACCTGCCACACCAGACATCCTCACCCTGCCGGCCTGCATGTTGCTTCTTCACGCCTCTTTTAAAGGATCCCAGGTTGTAAGAGGGAGGGAACACGTAAGCAGGCAAAGCATTCCATTTACGGATAATGTGACAAAGAAATGACTCACCAAATTTCTTTGTACGCGTTGAATTGTGGCCACATTTAGACGGTGACAATGTAGACCAGCGGCCGTGTTCCTCTGAAGGAAAAGTGCTTACTTTGGGGCTAGGCTAATTGGTGTGAGTGTTGGAAATACTTATTATTATTTTAAAGGATCCCGGGTTGCATGAGGGAGGGTACTTGAGTTTTGAATAACTTGTCCCGCTGACGCCCAAAGCCCGCGAAATTTTGAATCACTTGGCCGATTTGGTTAATAAATCTTTCGTTTCCAGGACCCAGCGCTGGACTCATACACGTTGGAACACGAGGCCAGGAAGTTGGACAACACGCTCGCACATAGCCTACCGCCGCTCAACGACAGCTCAGACTACTCCAAATAATTCCGCGAATAATGCATTACCCTTAGATTAAAACATAAAGGGAAGATACGGTACGCTCATATTAGCATCAAATAAAATATGCTCCGACTCAACTACATGAGCAACTCTCACACACGCACACGCCTGTATATAAACATTCAATCGAGCGAGCGAGACAGAATTATACGCTTCAACGCAGCGCGAGCGAAATGGCTTGTCCGCGGCCGGGTCCGCACGGCTGAGCTGTATTGTTGTCCTTTTCTTGATAACAAAATGGCGATTACGTAAATGACATTCACGACAAACCAATAATGCTTATGACCAAATAATAATGTTTGAGTAAAAAATGTTTTTACAGTTTTACGAAGACATTGGTCAAGTCGATTCTAGCATGATTTTCTAAACCTAAACTTAAATTTTACTGCAGTATATCCTTGTCATTCTCTATACAGAATGAAAAGGAGAGACTGGTGTTAAATTGAGTTTCAAGTTTAGAGAATCACGCCAGAATTGTCACCATTTTTTAATCTTTATAACACAGAATATACGCAATATCGTTATATTGAGTGCACATCCAGCGTGTTTGAATGTCCAATTGTGACTGAAGCGAATTGTGGTCATGCACCACAATTTAAGCGGATCACTTTTGAGCCGCGAGTGCCGTATCTTCCCTTTTTGTTTTAATATAAGGCATTTCACTATGTTGTCGAAGAAAATTGACTACTATTACAAAGCATTAAGATTGTAGAGGAGCGAGCTTCCCTTTTTTTATAGTAATTGCTGTCACACACAGTCTGTCGTCACTCAACAACAGCTCTGACTTTTCCAAATAATCCCTATGGTGTTGAAGAAATTTGACTTCTATTACCACGCACTAAGAGTGTTGGCGTGCGAGCTCTCCCTGTAGTTTTGGCACCTTGTCTGTAATCTTCGTTACGAAAAGCGGAAACAATGTTAACACATGAAAAAATATGTTGAATAGCGTCAAACACAGACCGTCAAATTATGAAGTAACTGAATAACTAAAAGTCGGTAATAAATAATACCTAACTACCTAGGAACTTCAGAGCAATTTAATTAGTCGCGTTATAAGTATTTATGGACATTTCAAATGAAAGCCAAATCTAACAAAAAGATTATACAGTAAATTTTTACAGCTTCTCGTGATGGCGAATATAGAACTTTATTTCGGCAAATTTGCAATTAATTCAAGAAATAATTTGTGATGCAATTTTATATATATAAGCAAACGCATTCTAGTCATACGGTTTTTATGAATAAGGGCATAGTTTATATAATGCAATAGGGATGATGACTAATTTTTTTTTGCTTCGTTTATCAGGTAGATTATCAAAAAATAATGGACTAGTATTTTTTCTTTGGGCAATCAACCAAAAAATGACAAAGTTATAGCGCGTCAAAGTTTGGGAGAAGGGGCTCGTGACGTCACGTTTGAGTACACTTATAAGTGAAAATTCACTCAAAAGTGACGTCACGAGCCCCTACTCCCAAACTTTGACGCGCTATAACTTTGTCATTTTTTGGTTGTTTGCCCAAAGAAAAAATACGTGTCCATTATTTATTAATCATCTAACTGACGGACTAAATAGAATTTCGTTTACTGTACCCCGTCATCATCCCTATTGAAACGTCCGTCTGGACAAAAAACTCCCACCTTACAAGACTACCGCGAAATAAGCGTGTGGTTCCAGAACTCCACGGAATTGGGATAGAGTTTGCCAAGATAATGCGCGATTTATACTGAACATTAACGAAAGCGGCTAAATCTAAATAAGGTTATGGCGACCTCTTACTATAAAGCGGATAATCAGGTCGATTCCCATTTTACCAGAAAAAGAAATGATGTGGTGTCGTGGGACACCAGGTAGGAACGAAGTTCCTTCGGCTAATGTAGAATCGACACAAATTGCAAACTCGCTTGTGTATGCAACTGCCGCGCCTGCGCACGTCTCATTTAACGGTTTTATTCCACGCACTTTTTTCCACGGATTTTTTCTTACGGTTTTACTATCACATTTTTTTCAGTTCGGTCGCGCAGCAAAATCCCTATCCCCTCCAAACCTGCCGTAAGGAACTTCGGCCTACACCTGAAGGGTTGAGAACTTGAGACAGGCTGAAAGAGAGAGGAGAGAATATAATGTGGAGTTCACTGAGGGAGAGATTAGTTAAGTAAGGGGCCGTTAATAAAATACGTCACGCTAAAATCAGCTTCATCATCAACCCCCTCCCCCCCTATTGTCACGCTGTGTCACACTTTCTGTGACCCCTCTTGAAATATTCCGTCACAAAAACGGAGACCCCCCCCCCCCCCCCAAGTATGATTAATTTCAATTGATAGTACACAAATTTTAAGAATTTAAATATTTATTTAGTTTTTATAATAAAATTTAAATATATAAATAAATATCTTTTCATAAAAAAAAAAAAATCATATTTCTATTAGTCAGAAGTCCAAGGATTCTGTAAATGCGCTGAAATATCTATAATCGGTATTGCAACATCTTCTTCATTTTCAAAACTACCGTCCACTTCATCGTCATCTATCCATTCTGCATTTTCTGTACCAGCTTTTTCATCTCCTAATATGCATAACTAAACTAAATACGAAATAAATGATTTTCTATCTTGATGAAAACTGAGAAAGAAAAATAGTTGAAAGAAATACTAATTTAATAATTTTTAATGAACGACGAACGTCACGTTGCCGTAGACCCCCCGCCCCCCCTTGTCACACTTAGCAAGACCCCTCCCCCCCCCCCCCCCTTGTATGCGAACGTATTTTATGAACGGCCCCTAATTCTAATATCAAAAAAAAATGGTTGCCTGTAAAGTCGGTTTTACGGGCGAAGATTTTACGTGACAACGTCTTTTTCTCGGTAGAATATTTATTGATATGAATATAATTAAATTGCACAATAGGAACAAGGAATTGAATGAAAATAAGAATTGCACAAATTTTAACTATAGAAATATATTTTGTTTACTAAAACATTGTACATGTAAACTTAAACTTAACACGAGAGACTCATCGTAACGTTACCGAGCGTTACACTTTTTCATAAGTGACTCCCAGCCGCAACCTAATTTAAGACGTTGTCACGTCAATAACGGCCGAGTAACCTTACCGGCCAGTTAATACGTATAATCTCGTCCGAATAACAAAATCCAATATCGATTCCTATCTAATCTAGGTAAACACCCTTCAGTTAAGTACTAAACTTACTTGGATGTCCACAAATATCGACTAACTTATTTAAAGTTGAGCAGTGAAATAGGAGCTCGATGGCGCGGGTGGTTAGCGCGTTCGGCTGCGATCGTTTAAGTTAAGCAACTTTCGCAGTGGTCGGTCATTGGATGGGTGACCAAAAATCTTCTATCTCGAGTTCCTACGTGCTTGAATTTCGCCTGAACAAATTTTTTATTTCATGATTTTCCTCTCATTCAGACAAATCTTTGGGTGACGAGGGGGATTGACCCTGTTCCAATGAGTTCAAGTTGTTGATGAATTTAGGAGTTCGATGGCGCGTTCGGCTGCGATCGTTTAAGTTAAGCAACTTTCGCAGTGGTCGGTCATTGGATGGGTGACCAAAAAATCTTCTATCTCGAGTTCCTCCGTGCTTCAGAAGGCACGTTAAGCCGTTGGTCCCGGCTGCATCTGCAGTCGTTAGCACCCGCCAATCCGCACTGGGCCCTCGGTGGGTCATGACCCAATCGCCCTATTCCATCCATAGGGAAGGCCTGTGCCTCAGCAGTAGGGACATTAATAGGCTGATGCTGATGATGATGAGTAGTGGTAAACAACCAGCGGGTATTTTTGGAGTTAGCAAAAATAGCATAGAGCAACACGGCCAGGAGGGGAGTCGGCATTCACAGCGTTCCCCTCTGTCGATTTTCCCCCGCTGTTCGGCCAGCTCAAAAACAGTAGTTGCGCGTCGGATATTTCACTAGACTGAGTCAAGTCAAGTCGCGCGAGTGTGTGTTAGAGATCCAAAATGCCAAAATGTTATGTAATTTGCTGTAAAACATATCTGGGGGCCATTCGCCTAATGCAGTGTTTCCTAACCTTTCCAATACTGCTACCCCTGTAACCTATTAGGAAAACAGATTTTACCCCGACTTTAAAATGTCATCATCAGTCCAAGTAATTCCAATTTGGCAGCTACATCTTCGTCTCTAATAATGTCATCATCAGGAGAAAATCTCGGCCCGCTTCCCACACTCAGCACCCCGCGGGCTCGCTAGCAAGAAGGAGCGCATGCTCTATTTAGTAGTATTATTGTATAGTACCTATTTTCTTATTATTTAGATTTGACCAAATAATTAGGTTCTTTGTTACCCCCAAAGTATGCCTGATTTACCCCCGGAGGGGTAATTACCCCCAGGTTCGGAACCCAGGGTCTAATGGAAATGTTTTGGAAAACGCTCGCTTACGATTTCATATTGTTATTTCTAGCCGCCTGAGGTTTTCAAATGCCTCGCGCTCTTTTTTTTCTTTTGCATTGCTAATAAAGAAAATGAGCGTGAGGTATTTGAAAACCTTCGGCGGTCAGAAACAACAAAATGAAATCGAAAGCGTAGCGTTTTCCAAAGCATTTCCGTTAGGCGAATGGCCCCCTGGTATATTAAACTTACAAAGCATGGTGTTAAATTTCAGATATAACTAGAATTATTATTATATTATTTAAACACTTTTGAACACAAAATTCATATTATTTTGTTAAAATTCAATCGTTGGACTTGTTTGATAAAACTATCGACATGCCAGTACAAATTTCAGATCTGTTCATAAAAAAATCTTAAGTTTCATCTATGCCCGATTTAGCGCTGTCATTTTTTATATGTAAGTGTCGTAATTACAATTTTGTTTTTACGAAAGCATCATCATCATCAACCCAAGTTCGTCCACTGCTGGACATAGGTCTCCCCTAATGCTCGCCACTGCTCCCGATTTTCTGCCACTCTCATCCAGCCCACTCCAGCCAGCCTACGAATATCATCATCCCATCTTGTCTCAGGGCGTCCTACACTACGAAAGCATGCTCGACTGCATTTGTGTGCATATTCCCCCCCCCCCCCCCCCCCCGCAAAAAGCGGCGCAGAATGATTTCAGTAGTATTATGTCGTTATGGCTACTTCCCTCCTAGCCGCGTCGACTTTGTTGCTCTATGAAAAATAGTTCTGTGTTAATCAGAAATCAATATATCTTCATTCAAATTGGATGTATAGTACAAATCTTTTGAATCGTCCAAAAATTTTTTTTCCCTACCACTCGTTATGGACATATTTTTTAGCTGCGGAGAAAAACGAGCGAAAAAAAACTCCACAACATTAAAAGTCAAAATGTAACAACATTTACAAATCATTGTTGTTACAACGACAATACAATTACGATTTATTTAATATAGAAAACCTGTTGGAAAGATTGGAACAGTTCAAACCCAAGCATTTTGTCTGTAATATAATCAGACATATTAAAGTATGACTGTGAAAACAGTACGCGACCATCAGTCATTTTTGGGATCAAACATTAACACGAGTTCGTAGAACAAATTTTTCGCTTGCTTCAAAAATACCCGCTGGTCGCATTCCGTTTAACGACGCTCAGTTATTGAGATAACTACATTCCCCGCCCCCCCTGTTATGATCTGAGCTTTACTCAATTTAGACTAAAATTATTGTCTCTAGTCTCATCTATCTAGTTTTATTGAAGTGACGGCGAAGTCCAGACGTGAAGATAGCTGATACAGCAGTTCTACCTGCCACATCAGCCATTCTCACCCTGCCGGCTTGCATGTTGCTTCTTCACGCCTCTTTTAAAGCCCAGGTTGTTAGAAGGGAACACGTGAGCGGGCTGAGCATTCCATTTACGAATAGTGCGAGAAAGAAATGAGTCACCATATTTCTTTGTGCGCGTCAGAATTGTGGATCCAAATGGAAATGGATGTTGCGTTTCAATTCTATTTGCACACATGTGTTTCAAATCTTAGATTCAATTTTTCTGTCGATTCTGACATGACAGACCCACCATACCCCCAGGGGTAGGGTAGGACTGAACCATACCACCGTAGTGCTGTGCACTATATTCTTTCAGGTTTTGTTTTTCCGAATATTACGTAGCTACCTAAAATTGAATAAAATTCTAAATAAGAATACAGTAACTTTAATGCGACTGTTAAATGTTCTATACAGTATTCATAAAACAAAAGTTACTCCTAAAAAACGTCGAGCGGAACAATTTATTAATGACTAGTGGCCCGCCCTCGCTTCGCTTCGCTTCGGTGTAGAGCTGTAGTGTAAACTATAGTTTTTGTTCTCAGGCTTGTGCTATAAAGAATGACTTTATTTATATAATTACACGTGTTCTTGTGAGTCAACCATAAAAGATAGACATATGATGTTGCGGGATATTTTTAAGACAATTTTATGTAGAATATTTCCGTCATACATGATTTCTATGTAACTTTAACCATTAAGGCTGCACCCGCGACGGAAGCTTAAAAAATGGAGTAACTTCTCCCGTTTTCCTAACATTTCCCTTCACTACTCTGCTGCTATTGTATTGTAGCGTGATGAAAAGTATACTATAACCTGCCCAGGAGTATGAAGAATAATTGTACCAAGTTTCGTTAAAATCCGTCGAGTAGTTTTTGTTTCTATAAGGAACATACACACAGACGGACAAAAATTTTACTGATTGCATTTTTGGCATCAGTATCGATCACTAATCACCCCCTGATAGTTATTTTAAAAATATATTTCATGTACAGAATTGACATCTCTACAGATTTATTATAAGTATAGATGATTTTATAACAGAAGTCCAAATGTAGTTAGTGTACACAACGAAATCACCATTGGGCATGCGTTAGACAAATTAAGAACATGGATTAACATCTTTTAAGTTTTTCTGTTTAAGATAAATAACAAAATAAGTATTTAATTTTGTTTGTATATGTTAGGTATCTACTTTTATTCTATTTTGTTTGTGGTATGGTTCAGTCCTACCCTACCCCTAGGGGTATGGTGGGTCTGTCATGGATTCTCGAAATGAAATCGATCTTTTGAATAGTCCCAATATTTTCTCCTAACACCCATTCAGGAATCTTTTAGCTGATGAGAAGATTGGGCTCAAGAAACTGTCTCGTATATTAGCATATTAGCTATAGTTTCAGACTACACGTCAGTCGTGGTTTATTAAAGACAACTTAATTGCTCACTCGCGAGCTAAATAGGTCATGAGGAGGGGACTCGAACTAAAAGATTAGCGACTGCCTATCTGGGCCGATGTCTAGGCGAAATTAGGTAGCCGATACTAATAGGGAGCTCGATACCGTGTTCGCCTGAGATCGTTGAAGTGAAGCACCTTTCGCAGTGGCCGGCCATTGGATGGGTGACCAAAAATTAAGTATCTTGAGCTCCGTGTTGAAGGCACGTTAAGCCGTTCGTCCCGGCTGCATCTGCAGTCGTTAGTAACCACCAAACCGCCCGGTGGTGGGTCGTGCCTCTATCTCAGAAATCTCAGAATTCCATCCATAGGTAAGGCCTGTGTCCCAGCAGTGGGGACATTAATAGCACAAAATGTAGTAGTCTCGTAAAAACATGTGTTCTTAGTCTTTGCTAAATTATAAATAAAGAAAAAATCAACTTGTTACGAGGTTTCTTAATATTCATGACAACTTATTATGAAGACGTCTATTGTAAGGGTACGGCCAGAGTGCACTCAGCTTCAGACTCAGAAAACAAGCGCGAGAAATAAACAATGTAGTTAAAGCAGGGTGGCCATAGTGGCAGCAGGCAACCTGCTTAAACTACACTGTATATTTCTCGCGCTTATTTTCTGAGTGTGAATCTGAGTGCACTGTGGCCGTACCCTAATAATCTAAGTCAGTTTAGCAGATTTTCTAGTTAACTTTTCCAAGCACATATGTCAAACTACCGATAAAATTTCGTGTTGTTACCTTAGGACGTAGGTACTTAATTGTGTGTTTGTTTATCGTTTCTACCGATACGAAAACCATGATCTTGTTTCAAAGTTGCATTGCAAGTAATAAGAACAATTGTACACACCCAGATTTGAACCTTAGAATGTAGGTTTTACGGCACATCAAACCCTCATTTATCACAGGATTTTGATCTTAAACGGCCGTATTGAGACCACTCAATTAAGTTTAATACGTGTCGTCTTTTTCAATTACTATCACTATGCAGTATCAATTTTAATCAAACCCTAAGTATTACCTAATTGATTAATGCGGCCATGAGTTGAAACTGAATCAATATTAAGAATGATAAATTTGATAATTTTTGTATAAGCGATATGAATGTAGGAGGTAATTCAATCCTGTTGAATAGGAATGATGACTAATTTTTTTTTCTTCGTTTATCAGGTATATTATCAAAAAGTATTGGACACGTATTTTTTCTTTTTTCACATAATATAAACTGCAGAGATATATTGATTTGAAAAGATGCATGACGTCACGAGCCCCTACTCCCAAACTTTGACGCGCTATAACTTTGTCATTTTTTGGTTGATTGCCCAAAGAAAAAATACGTGTCTATTATTTTTTGATCATCTAACTGACGGACTAAATAGAATTTCGTTTACTGTACCCCGTCATCACCCCTATTTCATAATCAAAATAATAAATATCATACGACGGTCAGCTCGAGTTGAATGCTATTTACACAGGTGGTTGTCGCTTTTCGTAATAGGTAGAATAGCAATTAATACTACCCAATAAGGGCATAATCACCATGTTGCGAGAGTCCGCGTTAAAAAAACTAGGCCATACCATTTTGACTTTATAGCTGGCAACTTATAAATATAGATCAATTTTAGTCTAACATTGGGCTATTCATTTATTACGTATGACTATTTTCGCTAGTTTTTCCCTATGTATGAAAAAATAAGACAAACAGCCACACCCTGTTTCATATTATGTAAGAATCATAAGGAATATTTATTTGTATCTAGAAAGATGCTAATAGTTTTACAACAACAACTTTTTCAAAGTATAATCTTTACTTTGCGCATTTTTTTGATCATACGTAAGAACTGTTAAGACACCCTCCCACCCCCCTTGTAAGAAAAAATAAGATATGGCCACCCCCCTCTCCCCCTAAATCGCCTTACGTAATAAATGAATAGCCCCCAATTAGTACAGCCTTAAAAGAAGCTTACTAAATACAATAAGTTATTGGCGTACTAGGCAACTACTTTCTGTATAAATCGTGGGCGCAATTTATTTCACTTTGATTACCTACTCTTTTATAGTTAGCTTTAAAATACCATAAGTTTAGATTAAAAAAAATAAATCAACGCCGCTTACACCATGTATGAATCAGGTCAATGTGAATCCGTGAATCACGCGCGCAATGAGGCTGGCCAATTGTCGGAAGCGGAAGTAGTGTTTTATGCCAAATGAGTCACTTTCAAGAAACCGGTCGACATCGGCAACCGGCGGCTACGTTGGTGGCCATTTATGTCTCATTCCATGACCACTCTATAAAATATGCCATCATCACACAGTTGATAGGTCTACAGTAACCAAAGCTCCATTTTGAGACAAGTCTAAATTTGCATTTGAATAGAAAACAAAGATTTTTTGTTTAGCTTCAATATAATGTATATTTTATTTAAACTTTTAGTATTATAAAATATGGCTTTTTTTTTTGTTGTCTGGAAGAACATAAACATTATTGTCAAACAAGGTTGTGCTATGATCTTGTGTTCAGTCAGGATGCGTATTAATTGAATAGTACATGTGTATTTCTGGTGTTTTGTATATCATGAATGACATTACATTGTATAAGTATGAGATGTGCGTTTAAAAATATAATTATTACTGTAATTTAATTAACCTATTGTTTCCTTGTGAGCGATGAAAACACAAAAGGTGTTATGATATGATAATTTTGACTGTAATAAATATTTATGAGATGGAATAATTGAATAGGTACTATTCACATAGCCACTAAGTTAACATACTAGTCTATAATATTCTAGTCCGTCCACAAGTAATTAAATAAATTTTAACGTTTCACAAAACTAGATGTAAGGATATTTATAAAACCTCTGTCACAATTTCCGCCTTAATTCTTATGAAGTAATTCACTGTAAAAACGAAATTGTTGAAATAAACTGATCTCCATGTCATTGAATTGTATAATTGACATTGGTTCTAATAAATATATATTGATAAATCAATAATTAATTGTTATTTAAATCAACATGATAATGTACCTATGTAATCCTAAACCCTACTTTTAAAAAAGCAGTTTCACATCCATCTACAACAACAGACCCATAAAATTATGGATGATCCTTATTACTACATTATCATAAGGTACATAATATTCATGTGATAAAATTATGATTATATTTTTATCAACAACTCGTGTGCAATATTAGCAGACAAATAAATCCCATAAATAACATTTGGAAACAGCATGTAGCACCTATATCAGAGAGTAACGCTGGCAGACCCCGTTGTTAGCTAAACGATAAGCTCCAACGATAGCGACTCGCCAGTCACTCGTTTAATAGTTAACATGCTCATTATCAAATTCGACCGTCATTTCCGCGGAACTAATTCCCAGATGTCGCAAATGTAGAATAAAATCTCTAGCAAACTTTTTCTATTTCCTTATGAAGTTCAGGGTTGATAAATTATGTGTTAGTTTAGTTAGGCCCATCCGCCCCCATAGTGAGCTAGATCTATTTATTAGACCTTGTTACACGCCATGGGCTGCACTTGTTTGCATCATACTTTCGTAGGTAGAGCGTTGGGTACATAAGTTGTATTGTTTGTTTCCATTGGACTGTGTCAATTCTTATGTTACTAGAATGTCGACATACGCCCGCCACGTCACACTGCCGATAATGTTAATTTTTTATGTACTTTATTAAAAAGCGACACTTATAGTTTATTCTCGTTCATAGTTTGTAAGCGTAACACAACTTTTATGAAACTTTTTACACAATGTCAAGTGAATAAAATAGTTGTAGAATCCTAATGGTTGTTTCAATTAATTGAATTCAATTAAAATACCCGAGCCAATTGAAGTCGTGTTTGTTCATCGAGGGGACAGATTGGGCGGTGGGTCTGACGTGAGTCATGCGACATGCGACGCGGGACGGGACGGCCGCGGCGGCGGCGCACGACCGCACGCCGGGCGATAAGCATACCCCAAAACATTTAAAATTGGTTTTATTGATAAATTTGCAAAAAGAAAAAGAAATTAATAGTTAATTTACATGTCGATTATTGATTGCAAAGATAAAAATATACAAGTTTCTCAATTTGCACAATATATATAAAAATATAATTCAACTCAGATCAAGTCATTACCAATATCCTTGTGCAGTAATCTTAGGGCGCGTACACATAGAACGTCCGTTTTTACAGGATCTGTCGCTACTGAAAGTAATATTCACACAGCATTTACAGGATTGATTTTTAACGGATCTGATGCTATTTAATATAATATTCACATTGGCACCCGTGTGCAGCACATCGCACCACGCACTACCCCGCCAGGCAAGCCTCGCGTTATTTCAATCCGATAAAACGGATCGACGAATTCCTGTTGCGTGGGGGATTTTTCGCTGAATCCAGAATACTGTCATTTATATGAACTAGCAGATAAAACAACATACGCCAATAATGTATATGTTTAAACGGCCCAGTAGACTGCTGCATATTTAGTGAGATCAGTATTTTTTACTGAATCCAGAATACTGTATTGTGTGTGAATTCGCTTCTACAACTACATAAGCCATCAATTAACGGATCCATAAAACGAATTGATATGTGTATGCGCCCTTACATGTTAACAGAAATCCAAATTGAGGAATTATCTTATCCATAACGATATTTGAACACCTATATAATAAAGTTAAACAAAGTTTGTAGCAGCAAAACTAAGGTAGGTAATTATATTTAAATGAGCCAGTAATCATAAAACTTTATTCTTCCATTTACAATAACGATAAAAATTTTAGAGTTATCAATTTCATAGGGGAGGGTTTAGTCCGTCGCAGGATTTCGGCGACCGAGGCCACCATAGGCACGAGGACTCTAGGTAGACACTGAAGACACTAAGTCAGCAAGGTGCATTCACCTAAGGCTCACTAATTTGTTCAAAGGTTACCAAGTCCTAAACGGCGTTGCATTATCAACTTCCCTTCGATACATTTGAATTATATAACAAGACAATAATATATCTGAAAAAATTTAATGTATCCTTAATTATTAAACATTACTTACATGCTGGTTCAGGCCTGCTGGCACATATCTCAGGTCTCTTCAGAGCCTGTTAATTCAACTTTCATACTTATCGTTCAGAAGTTGGGGCTCATTGTTAACATTAGTGCAATCAAAACATTACTAGACATCTAGAAAATAAATCATGATTTAGTACATTGCTATGTTCAGACAGTGAAGCAAATATTTTAAATGCATGTATCTACAATAAATGTAATGAACATTAACGCTTACATTACACAAATTTATTAAATGGAGAGAAACATTGTAACTTCAGAGTATATTTCAATGTCCTTGAAAGATAATGTCATGGTAAATAACCGTTGTCACTTTCCTGTTTAAGGCATGACAGGCTGACTGACTGAACTTAGCAATTGTTATTGAAATTATTAATAGAACAACATTAGTTAGTTTTGAAAAGATGACATTTGCATTGTGGCCTAAATTATTGGTCCATGACAACTACGCCTTTAATTAACAATTATTAGATAAATGAATTATAATAATTATTGCATGTCATTTACCTATTGAAGAACATTATTCTACAATATACGCTGAAACCCGCTGCGATTGCCATGGAATCAATTACAATTACTTTTTAACTTCTGAACTGCATCCACACATTACATTTGGAATTTCTAGAGTGAAATACACACAGAATCGTCGAATCTATCCTCGAATATATCATTCTATAAAAAACAAAGACTCAAATGTGTAATAACTACAATTAGTCAGGTAGGAATAAGGATATATCCACGATGCTCTGTGCATATTCTACTCGTGCTTCACCAGCACTGGATCACGACACGGCTCAACAAATGCACATCCTCAAAATGCTACAGGTGAGGCTAAGCCACATGCTCAACACCTGATCTAGTTAACTTTGGGAACTGTCGAGAGCCAAATCCGGGTACGAGAAGTCTTTCAAATTATTAAATATTGTATAACTAGACGCGTCTGAGGCTCCGCGACACTTACAGAAGACGACACACTCGGTTCTTCCTCACTTTTCTTTCCTCTTTGGGTGACTTCTTGTTGATCTGTCGTACTAAATCATAGAAGACGTCGTTGACGTTGATTTTAGCTTTCGCCGAGGTCTCCATGAAGGCGCAGTTGAAGTGGCGAGCGAGATTCCCGCCCTGCTCCTTGCCGACCACGCGCTCCGCCTCCAAATCGCACTTGTTGCCAACCAGCACCATTGGTACATCGTCCTTGTCCTTCACTCGTAGGATCTGTTCTCGTAGATCTTGCAGGTCGTTGAATGTCGACTGTGCTGTGATCGAGTACACTAACACGAAACCCTGCCCATTTTTCATGTACAGGTCTCTCATAGCAGTAAACTGTTCCGTACCAGCGGTGTCCAATATTTCGAGCATGCATTGTTGTCCATCAACTTCCACCTGTTTTCGATAGCTGTCCTCTATGGTGGGGTCGTATTTCTCCACAAAGATGCCTTGTACGAATTGTACTGTAAGGGCAGACTTTCCCACGCCTCCGCTACCTAATACGACTATTTTATATTCACGCATTATTAACTATTTTGTATCACGTGTTATTAATAATTGAAATCAAAGATCAAAACGCTAAAAAGCACATTAACTAGTGAGTTTTTGCAAAAAAAAACTTTTAACAAGTCAAACCGCCATGACACAGTTAGCAGGGCGATGGCTCACTTCTTCAATGTTGCCATCACAAAATAACTAGTCACAAAAGATGAGGATGCCATCTCACTTCACTCCGTAAACATATTAAAGTATTTTACTTGAAACAGTGACATTTAAAAAGCACGTCATAAATTTCACTGAGGCTCTAGTCGTGAGCACAGCTTCTTGAACACTGCCATTTGATTTTAAATTCCACCATGCAAGTATTCTAAACATGACGTCACATATCAGACACGTCATCTACGCACACCACTACCGATTTAGATAAATTTATTAAATGCATACAATCCAAATGCAACGGCAAAAAGGAAATAGCGGTCCAACAACGGATAAAACAAATTATTTCATTTTGCGGTCCGATGTAGTTTCGATTTATTTAATTTAAACATCAACATAGATTTATTTTTTATTATGTCACGTCCAGAGTGGTTCTGTATTGTAAAACGTATTTTTAATTACTTAAAAAATACTGAACCAGGTTACTTTATAATAATGAATCATTTAATTGTTAAATATTATATTCTTTGGGGATAGTGCATAAACGCGTGTGTAACGCATGCAAAGGGTGTGTGTCTACATTAACCAAATTTTACAGAAGGCGAACCCTTTATGGCGCAGAGTAGTTTTTTATCAAAATTAGTTTTTTTTACTATGTTTGATATGATTAAAATCTATGTTGTTGAAAAATAGCATTTTCCAAAAAAAAAACACATATCAGTTGTTGAGTATTTTCAACGTTGCGCATTAAAGGGCATTAGTACTTTCGTATTTCAACAGGTACCTATTGGGTTTATTTTTACACAGAAAGTATACCAATTCTGTGTGTTCTATGTATCGGTGAAAATACATATCTGTGAAAGTGATTAATATCGTTGCTAGAACACTTAAACGGATTTGATTTAATAATAAAGTAATGCAAATGTAACCCAAATAGTTACTTCCGAGATAATGAAATAAAGAAATTAATTATTTTAAAGAAATTATTTATAAAAAAAACTGGAAATGATTCCACGCGGCTCAGTCAACAGACAACAAACTTTAGATTTAAACATCTAGCCATTAAATGCTTCAGTAAATAAAATTTATGGAAATATTTAATAATCAACAAAAATGACTATCGAAAATTCCACAAAAGGTTTATATCATTATGTTTAATTTGTTTAATTAAAATTTTCTCTAAAATCTCTTAGAAATAGAACATAAACACTGTTTTAAGTAACAAGATTACATCAATGGCGTCAATTTACCCTTAGGTGCCGATGCTGGTATGATTCTCTAACCTTAAATCTAAGTTTCACATCAGTATCTCCTTTTCATTCTGCATAGAGAGTGAGAAGGATAGACTGTTGTCAAATTTATTAAATTGGCATTTTGACATGAATCACTGAGATGAATCAGAGGTATTTAGTTTATTTTTGAATCAAATCAAAAACTAAGGAATTTCAAAAAACCCTGTACTTTGATAATAATCTGTAATGGAGAAAGATTTTTTACATAGCAACATTTCAGGAACGTAGTTCACTTCTTATTCAATAGATGGCAGGATAATAATAATTGCTGCAAAGTACAAACTGTTTAGATTTTGCTGGAATTGGAGTGCAAATAAAAAGATAAACTGTGCCAGTTGCTTTTAGTATTTTTTTCGTATTAAAAGGAAAAGGACTTTATATAAAACTAAGCATACCGCTCTCTTTCTATAAACTACTTTTCTCTTTGCGGTAAGGTTAAAACGTCCCTGCGAATAGTCATGTTTTAATCATAGGTCATAATAGACATTAACCAGTAACTGTAAACGAAATGAATGTAAACGTTATTGATAGATAATAAATAATAACGTTACGTTATAGCGAATAATGCGATAAAATTGGCAAAAAATGTAATGAATGCAGATCGATTTATACATATTATACTTTTTTTCAGGTAAGAAATCACTCTTAGTACTCGTACCTTATCTCTATTATAATAAGAATGCTCTGCCCGCTCACGTGTTCCCTCCTTCTTACAACCTGGGATCCTTTAAAAGAGGCGTAAATAAGCAACATGCAAGCCGGTAAAGTGAGGATGGCTGGTGTGGCAGGTAGAACTGCTGTCCCAGCTATCTTCACGTCTGGACTCCACCGTCACTTAACATCAGGTTGGGCGGAGTCATTTATCGGATTTATCTATAAAAAAAAAAAAGTCAACTATCGATCAATAGACTTTGTTCTACGAGAAACGTTTGAAAATTTCCACCGTGTGTCCGTAGTAGTGCTATGGCACGTAGTTAGGGTTGCCAGATGTTGGCTTATCAATTCCGGGACATCTGCACCCCCCCCCCCCCCCTAAAAAAATAGCAAGCATTAAATCAAACCCCTCATAACCCCCCAGAATTAAAACATCAAGTAGGCCAGCGGTTTCATTCGTTATTCGTTTATTTTGTCACGAAACTAGCACATTACCGGAATCCGGGACAATAAGGTCTAATAGGGGTGATGACGGGGTACAGTAAACGAAATTCTATTTAGTCCGTCAGTTGGATGATCAAAAAATAATGGACACGTAATTTTTCTTTGGGCAATCAACCAAAAAATGAGAAAGTTATAGCGTGTCAAAGTTTGGGAGTAGGGTCTCGTGACGTCACTTTTTAGTGAATTTTCACCTAAAAGTGTACCAAAACGTGACGTCATGCGACTTTTCAAATCAATATATCTCTGCAATGTTTATATTATGTGAAAAAAGAAAAAATACGTGTCCAATACTTTTTGATAATCTGCCTGATAAACGAAGAAGAAAAAATGTAATTATCCCTATTACTGGACACGGCACAAGACGCTAAATTCCGGGACAGTCCCGGATTTCCAGGTCATCCGGCAAGCCTACCGGGATAATAGCGTCTAATTACTGGACACGGGACAATATGCTAAATTCCGGGACAATCCCGGATTTCCCGGCTATCTGGCACGCCTACACGTAGTAGGTAATAGGTACTATATCGACCTGACTACTACAGTATGCCTTTATCGAGGTTCCTTTGTGTCATCAGCCAAACGCAGGTAACCTAATTGACAAGAAAAATGGTAAGGGTTAATCATACGTACGTAATCAGAACTATGCTTAGTGATATGTCTAATGGAAATATAGTTAGGTAACTAGCGGCCCGCCCTCGCTTCGCTTCGGTGTAAAGCTGAAGTGTAGACTACAGTTTTTGTTCTCAGGCTTGTATTATACACAATGACACTCATCTACGATTCTTCTTATACCTGCATGCAAAGTCTCAGCCCGATCGGTTTAAAATTGACAAAGTTTCATACAAACTTTCATTCCCTATTTTATCCCCTTGGGGGTAGAAATGATCAAAATCCTTTCTTAGCGGATGCCTACGTCATAACATCTACCTGCATGCCAAATTTCAGCCCGATCCGTCCAGTGGTTTGGGATGTGAGTTGATAGATCACTATGTCAGTCAGTCACCTGTAAGTGTAAGTCAGTGTAAGTGTAATAAAAGGTGCAAGTACCGGGATGTGGGTGTGACATATTTTTTCCTGCCTTTTGCTGTAGTTAAAATGGGTCCTTGGGGCCTTGCTGCACAATTATTTCTTAAGGATATCACTGCTCGTCTGTGCGAGGCTACAGGGGACCTAAGATCTGGTAGCTTCTCTGCTCAACGGATTAGTTTGGTAATTATTGTTCTATCTTTTGTTGTCATTAATAAAAAAAATGATTATTAGTTGCCCTTGACTTCGCCTGTGGGGAAAAAATGGTTTCCAATACAAGCTTTCAGCCCCTTATCGCCCCCTTAAATGGTATCAAGGATAAAAACTATGCAATTTCCCAAAAATCAAACTGTCTCTATAGAAAAATTCATCTAAATCGCTTCAGCGGTTCAAGCGTGAAGGTAGGTAACAGACAGGCAGACACACTATTGCATTTATAAAATTATAATGGATGGACTGGAAAATTAATTTCAAAGTTCACACGATTTAAGAGAGGCAGGATAAAGCGGATTTGCCGCTCGAATTGGAACGCCCGCCCAACTGGGTAAAATAACATAACCATAATCATGATCAAAATCATTTCTTCAGTTTAGGCTGTTACAAGCACATATGAATGTCTAGAAGCTACGCCATCGGTTCGTAAATCTACGGCGGGAGACCTTGTACTGAGAAGAACCGGCAAGAAACTCAGCAAGGGCTGTTTTTTTCTCCCTGTTTTATCATTTACAGAGTCGTCAAGTTGGAAAATGACTTCAGAGATGATTCATGAAGTCACCTTTCATTACATAATGTGAAATTATACATTAATTGTTCACCTGCATTTTGATTGCTGTGTCACACAATATAAATACAAACAGAGTTATTATATATAAAACCTATTGGTGGTATAGTTTTTCTGTTGTTGGGTAAGGTTCCAGGGCTCCACGGGGTAGGGGATTGGGCCAGGGTAAGCAACGGCGCGAGATCACAAGCGTCTATAAGCTTTAAGGTGGTCGCTATTCATTAGACGGGCTATGAGCTCGTTTTGCCACATGCTAGGAATTTCTATGCAAGACGGAACGCAAATGCCACCACCAAGTTGAGGTTCCGCTCGGTCACCAATCCGTATGGTCCTACATGACGCGATATTCAATCGACGCTGGCATTGGTCGCAAAATATTGTCCCCAAACCCTCTCCCTCGAATTTTGTAATGCAATTTCTTGAATGCAATATAACACAGGCTATTAAGGCTGCGTTTCCACCAGAGATGTGCGAGGATGCATAGCGAGGGATGTGTTTGTAAAGAACCAATAGAATCGCTTCATTTCTCGCCTCGGTCTGCACAGCTCTGGTGGAAACGGCTCAGCGGAGCTAGATTTTTGCGCATACAAAACAAGCGAGGGATGTGTGCGAGGGATGTGTACGAGGGATGTGTTGCGAGGAATGTGTGTTGAGAAGGATGTGTTGCGAGGTTTGCGCATACTGTACCAGCCAGTCCATAGACGGAGTTTGTTGGAAGTAGAAGCGCACAAAATAGATATGGATAATTGGAAATGAAATGGAAGAAATGGAAGCAGAATATAAAGCGACGCATCCTCGCACCACACATTAATGCGCATTTTCACAGCTCCGCTACACATCCTCGTAGGCACATTTTCATCGCACAGCTTTGGTGGAAATCCCCACACATTTTCACAGCACAGCTAGACATCCTC